TTTATACGGTTGAATTTGAAACAACACGTGACTTGCACAACTGACTATCGTGAAGTAGTAGAGGGAACTAATTTTTTTATTAGTCAAACCTTTTTCGTGTAATAGACTTTACAACTTTTATGTAGTTATAGTAGTTGATTTGACTTCAACATTAGAGTAATAAAAATAAATGAATAATATTGTTGAAGCCTATCGAACCACTCTAAGTAGCAAAATCTACTACACAATGCAGTAGTTTTGGTGAGAAAATAATAGATAATTTTAACTTTTTGAACTTAAGTTTTACTACATTGAGTAGTAGATTGTACTACTTAAAGTAATTAGAAAGGATTGAACAGCATTTTTAAATAAAGCAAAGTTCAGAAATAAGAATTTAAAGAAGATAAAAAGAACTAGTAAAAGTAGTAAATACTACTACATTACATTGTAAAATGAACTACAGTTGTCGGTTGATCTATGTCAAGAATGTCATCAGGTTTCATGCAGACCATCGTAGCGTGCGAGCGTGGTTAGGTGGTTAGGTTATCGGTTTGCGAATGTTAGGGTCGTGCGTTCAATCCCCGGCGTTTGAGGATTTTTCTCCATTATGTACATAAGTGTTGAAAATTATAAAGTATATGTGACCAATAGGAATGCTAGAGGAGATGAAAAATGAATTTCAGTAATAATAATAATTAATAAATAATAATAAATAATTCTACTACTTTTAAGTAGTTGCTGACAAAAACAAAAAGATGTTAATTTTTACTTTATAAAACAGATCATTAACTACTTTTAATAGTTAATTCTACAACAGAAATGTCGTTAAAGCCTATCGAATTACTTTAGGTAGTAAAACCTACTACTTAAAGTAGTAGATTTAAAAACAAAATAATAGTTAATTCTACAACAAAAATGTCGTTAAAGCCTATCGAATTACTTTAGGTAGTAAAACCTACTACTTAAAGTAGTAGATTTAAAAACAAAATAATAGTTAATTCTACAACAAAAATGTCGTTAAAGCCTATCGAATTACTTTAAGTAGTAAAATCTACTACCAAAATCTTAGTTGTTATAATTACTTTAAAGTTAGTCAAATAAACTACTAAATCACATTCAACCAACTACATTCTTAGTTGTCTTAACTGCTTTTATGACAGTTAGTACAACTATTTGAATTCAGTTGAGGACCTATTGAATTACGTAGAGTAGTTAAAAAGTAGTCAAATCTACTAGTTTTTTTTTTCAGTGTATATAATTCAATCAAATGAAAATAAATTATTATAAATTATAATTCGAAATGAAACTTTTTCTGTTAAATAATTTTTTTTTATTTTCAATTTTAAATTTAATAAAATAATAAATAAATTTGACTTTTGGAAATCTTTCTGTAGAGGTTAAAATAAAGAGTCTATGGATGTATTGAAAACAAACGATTAGATCTTATTTTATTTGTATCCTTATTTTTATTGTTTTCTAAATTTTTTTTTTTTTTAATAATGAAGGTATCTTTAAGTGCAAAATTTTCAAACTACGCCTACTTTCTAGCTTTCTAGGGACACGTACTGAATTCTTTCTAGGGATTAAAATTTATATTTATATCCCTCTTACTTGAAAATACTAATTTTTAATAATTATATTTTTAAAACTATATTTTAACTCTTTTCTTTGTTCTCGACATTGAAGCACTGACAGATTATGAAAAAAATAAGCAAAATGCTTTTTATTTTATGTTAAAAAAATCTTTATTCTATTTTATGTTAATAAAATTAATTTTTCATAAGTTGCATCAGTTAAAAAAAAATTTCCCATCTTGTCAAAAATCATACAAAAAGACCAAATAGTAGAACAAATTTTACTCTCAGCTCATAAAAATGAAAATTATAAAAATCTTTAATAGATCGATAAATTAATGAAAGGAAAATTTTACCTGTTTTTTCTACTGCAAATACAAAAAAATATTGAATTAACGAGGATATATATGAATATATATATATATATATACTATACATAAGTCTGTATGTATACAGAACTGTCGTTTATTATAACACGTGCTTTAAACACTGAAGTGACAATTTCAATTTTTGTTTATATAAAAAATTTCTTTAAAAATAACAAATACGGTTCACTTTCACCTGTACACTTTTTCCCTAAAAAACAAAATATTTTATGCCAACATTTTTTTTTTAATTATATCAAATTCTATAGACACATGCGATGCTATGATGGCTTTGGAGTGCAATTTGAGACTATAATTTTACAATGAAATAGAATTATGTTTCTAGAGTAAAAATTAAAAATTGACGTTTCTTTTTAATTAAATTTTAATATATAATTTTTATTTGTGAATTACCTTTGACTAAAACGCGCGAATGGTTGTCGTGAAATATATGGGAGAAATGTGGTAGCTCGATACCCGGGGAATTCGCTATACTTAGCTTTGTGGCAAGACGCGCAGACGCTTTTCGCTTACTGTTTCGACCCCGACATTAAAGCTCTCTTTTTTATAATGTAAACAAATTTTAATAGTCAAAATAAAAAAAAAAATTTGGTTCCTTTTATAAATTTTTATAAACGAAATTTTTTTATTCGTTGATTTTGAGCGGGAATTTTTTAGTATATTTTAACGAAATTTTCATTTATATAATAAAAATAATAATAATAAAAACTAATTTTGACAATATGTAGTCGTTTTTGTTTTAAAAACTGTTAAATTAAAAAAATAATTTTTTAAATGTTAAACATCGTTCAAAAATTTTATTTTCCAAATTAAATTTTTATAAACTATGTCGTTGGAATTTATTTTTATTAATAATTTAAATTTATTTTTTTTAAACTAAATAGTTTAAATTTATTTTTTTTAAACTAAATTATTTAAATTTATTTCCTTAACTTTATTAAATTAAATTTATTTTTGTCAAAGATTTTATTAAAATATTCTAGAAATACAACTTCTTGTTATTGCTTCGGACATGAGTCATTGTTTTTAGAAATTCGTTATATTTAAAAATTAGTCATTTTTTGATTGACTTGAAACTTTGGTAAATTGTTGTTCAATAAAATAGTAAAATTTTCTGAAAGTTTTAAATTATTTAAATGGAATTTGTAGAAAGAAATGGGGGTTGAAGTTTCGACTGCGACTTTAATTTTAAAAAAAAATACTTCAAATTAATTAAAATTTAAAGCTTTCGTTTCCTTTTTTGATGACTTCTAACAAATTTCATTAATAAAAAGAAAAGGAATTTAAAAAATTTAAAAATATAAAAAAAATAATAAAAATTAAAATCCATTTTGTTTAAAGTTACGATACCTTGACCTATATGTATACATAAAATGCAGAAGAATACATAAAAACAATTGTCCTTGAAATTTCCAAAAATTTTCAACTGTCTCGTGTTCCTATATATACACGACGACTGTCTATACTTAGGATTGGTTGAAAAGAGTTCAAGGTCGCTTATAGGAATACTTATATTTATCGTATCTTTATTTCTAAAATATATGTTTATTTTGAATCCACCATAAATGTGATCTTGAAATGCGTCTAATTTGAAAATAACACCTTGCAAAGTATGAAAAAAGTTTCGTTAATATTGTAAATTTTATATATACGATATTCAGAAATTGTTATTGATTTAATAAAAGAAAAAAAAGTAGGTTAATGTCTCCGAAGTAAATATAGGTCACATTCACCCCCCATGTATAAAATAATTGGGTTACTATGGTCTCCATGAAAAAAGAGGGGTGACGCTCTATTTTTATTTACACATTCGCTAATAAATATTTTCTTCAAATTTTCATAGCTGTTTCTTCGTTAAATCTCAAAAATTTTTATATAATTTTTTAATAAAATTTTCTATTTTTGTATCCTAGCAATTCTTTTTAGTTTTTTTTAATTAATTTTTTTGTTTCGTCAAAGTATATCATAAAAAGTTACTCGTCAAAATGAATTAAATTCACAATTCATAAAAAGTAACCACAGCCGATAATAATCAGCAGAAGATGAAAAATTATTTTTTTAACGAATTTATCTTCTGTTTATTAACAATTTTTAGTCAAAATATTTTTTCTAGGAACTAAACTATGGCTAGAACAATTCCAATAATTGTCTGAGTTATCAAAATTAATTTAATTCACAATTCATACAAAGTAACCACAGCCGATAATCAGCAGAAGATGAAAAATTATTTTTTTCGCGAATTTATCTTCTGTTTATTAACAATTTTTAGTCAAAATATTTTTTCTAGGAACTAAACTATGGCTTGAACAATTCCAATAATTATCTGAGTCATCAAAATTAATTTAATTCACAATTCATAAAAAGTAACCACAGCCGATAATCAGCAGAAGATGAAAAATTATTTTTTGAGCGAATTTATCTTCAGTTTACTAACAATTGATTCCAAATATTTTCTCTAGGTCCTAAACTATGGCTAGAACAATTCCCATAATTATCTGAGTCATAAAAATTAATTTAATTCACAATTCATAAAAAGTAACCACAGCCGATAATCAGCAGAAGATGAAAAATTATTTTTTGAGCGAATTTATCTTCAGTTTATTAACAATGGTTAGCAAAATAATTTCTCTAGGTCCTAAACTATGGCTAGAACAATTCCAATAATTATCTGAGTCATCAAAATTAATTTAATTCCCAATTCATAAAAATTAACCACAGCCGATAATCAGCAGAAGATGAAAAAATTTTTTTTTCGCGAATTTATCTTCAGTTTACTAACAATTCTTAGTGAAAAATATTATTTACTGTTCTTAAACAATAGCTAGAACATAATTTTCTCGAAAATCTTTAAAAATATGCAAAGTTCCAGAAAATTTTTTAAATTCTATACTATTTTCAGGTTTTCTATACCTTTTTCTAAATTCCATACCTTTTCCAGGTTTCCTAGGATTTCTAGTCTCCGTGGCAATCATTTGTAAGATAAAAAATTTGAAAAAGCGGGAAATAGAAAAGTATATAAGAGGGTCCTCCGATCAATTTTTAGAGGGTGAGTCAGTCTGGCATGTGGTAAGTTGTGATGTTACTTTACCAGTCACAGAAAAGTTACCGTAATATAAATACCTACGGGGATAATTCACTTGACACTTTTTCTCGGCGGATAGCGCCACAGTCGAATTTAGAGGGTAGTAATTCATTAATTTGAAATTATGGCGGGTAACGACCATCATTATTATTTTGAAAAAAATAGTCAAATCCAGAAATATCAGATTGATTTGTTTTTAATAATTTTTCTAATGCATCTGCTTTACTAAGGAGATTATTTTCTTCTTCATGGTGATTAAAGCGGTAATCAAGAAGGTTTTTTAATTACAAATGAAAAATTCTTTTTGCTGGACTGGCGCAGTACTGGTTTAGACTTACTCATCAAGACAACTATCTCTGTATTGACAAATTCGGCAAGCGTGTCACCTTTTATACAGTTCGATTTTGGTGGTAACTGGTAAATATCTTAATAAACGAATTAAACGTTTCTCCAAAAGTGGATTATAAAATTTGTCTTGAAATTTTTATTAACATGATTCGTGCTTCTTTTTTCTTTCATCATTTTTTTAATACTTAAAAATAATAATTTATTTTAAATGATTTTTCTTTTTAGATAATGAAGTCTTATTCTGCCTTTAATTTATTGAAAAGTCTCATGTTAATTTTACTATAGCTAAACTTTAGAATGATTACACGTAATAAAATCCTGATGCTAATCTTTATATAAATCTTGCTTTTTTCTAAATAGCATGTCTTAAAAGAATATCTCTTATAGGTTCAAGTTTCTTTTATTTAAAAACAATGAGTAACTTTAAGACCTATTGAAGTCTCCACTAGTTATTGATTTAGAAGAAGAAAAATTCCCATTTATTACTTTTTATGAAATAGCCTACTTTAACATTCACAGATCGAATTATTATTGTGAGGTAAGTTTTTAAGCGAGATTCCCATACAGCTTTCAGAATTATTGATGACTATGTAATAGCACAGCAAGACGTCAGAAAGAAATAAGTCACCCCTTTTTAAGCGAACTTTTTTTCAATTATTTACGAAATTTTACCAAACGGAAAGAAAAAATGTTTCTTTTTCCATCATATTCTCCAGAGAATGATGTTCGTAGTTTATACCACTTTTTTTTAATTTTTACCTGTAGCATATGATTTGAATTATCTTATCTCCACTTGAAAATGTTATTTCAAAATGATGTTCAACTTTATACTGGTCAGGTTTCAATGAAAATTTTATCTTTTTTTGGCTTTTGGAAACCGTCAGAATTTAATACTAAATGGTTGAGTATTTTTTATCAACTCTACACTTTTCTAATGGTTATTTTATGTTCAACATTTACATTTACATTGTTAATGCATTTCAAAGATATTTGGCAAAATATTGATAGTTTTATGTTGAATTTATATTATTTTTGCGCGATATTATCAATTTTAATTAAGCAAATTATTATTTTGCTGAAACGTAATGTAATTATTGACTTGCAAGAAAAGCTGTTGCATAAAGTATGTCAACCAAGAGATTTTTATGAAGTTGAAATTTTACAAAAGATATCGCGTATTTGTAGGTAGGTATGTCTAAGATATTATTTTTTTTAATAATAATTAATTTTTTGTGAGGTGAAGATTTTATTAAGTTTTTGTACCAGAAATTAGATTCAAATCTACATTTATAGGACAAATGGAATTTTTTTTCTTGTATTATTTGGTGTCTCTGCATTAGTAGTGTCAATTTCTTCTGCATTGTTGAAGAGAAAAAATGTGACGCTTCCTATTGAGGCTTGGACTCCTTATGCATTAGACTCGAATGTTTTATTTCGTGTTACCTATGGATTTCAAAGCATTGCCCTAGTAATGGCTGCTTTTACATCAGCTTCTGTGGAGGGTTTGGTTTTAACTTTTATACTCCAAACTTGTGCTCAACTTGAGTTACTTTTCCATCGCCTTCAATTGATTCCTCATCTACTGAAAGATTACAAATTGCATTCTGACTTATGGATACATGAATCGAATCTTATTACGGATTGTATAAAACATCATATGCACATTTATACGTAAGTAAAATAATGTACAAAAATTCCTTATAAGAAATTTTGTCTTTGCAATACATAATTAGCCAGACTTGGTATTCTAAATTTCACATGATTGAACGTTTCACAATTTTTATTACTTATTTCAGGATAGGCAATCGATTGAACAACGTATTTGGATTTGTGATTTTTACGCAATTTTTTTCGTCCATGATTAGTCTTTGTGCTGTTGTTTACGAGCTTTCCAGCCTAAGTATATCTAATTCAATAATTTGGTCCATACTGTTTTGTCTGAGTTGTGTTATTATGCAAACATTTCTCTACTGCTTTTATGGAGAAAAAATTATTCAGAAGGTAAGAGACTGTTTATATTCACTTAGCCTGTATTTAAAATAAAGAACTTAGTCTTGATATTATGACCATTGTATTTATTGTTAGTGACTTGAATGAATTACAATCTACAGTTTAAAGTTTACGTCAAGGAGTAAAATTAGATTAAAATTAATTAGACAATAGGAAAATTAGAATTAGTGATGAAATAAATTATTTAGGTTACTTTAAGTCTGAGGAGTAAAAACCTACTTAAAACACATCCTATGTTACATTCTAAGTCAAAATATTTGACACGTAGATAACAGAAATTAAATCTGCTAATCAGTATTTCGCCACACTCTGATAGAGTCACCCACCTGCCTAATACAGGGACTAAGCACATGTGCCAAAATTAAATCAATAAAAAATTGATCCCGAAAGTAATTAAAGTAAATGGTGTTATCATATTGTCCCCTTGCCAGAAACTGTATAAAAGGTGCTACCCTTGTCGAATTCGTCAGTCCAGAGATAGTTGTCTTGATGAGTAAGTCTAAACCATTACAGTGCCAATCATCAAACATCTTCATCGACTACAGTCCAGAAATAGCACAAGAAGATAATTTCTACATCAAATCACCTTTCCAGGTGCCACCCTTGCCCAATACGTCAGTCAAGAGAAAGTTGTCTTGATGAGTAAGTCTAAACCATTACAGTGCCAATCATCAAACATCTTCATCGACTACAGTCCAGAAATAGTACAAGAAGTTAATTTCTACATCAAATCACCTTTCCAGGTGCCACCCTTGCAGAATTCGTCAGTCCAGAGATAGTTGTCTTGATGAGTAAGTCTAAACCAATACAGTGCCAATCATCAAACATCTTCATCGACTACAGTCCAAAAATAGTTAATTCACCTTTGCAGGTGCCACCCTTGACGAATTCGTGAGTCCAGAGATAGTTGTCTTGATGAGTAAAACTAAACCAGTACTCTGTCAGTCATTGAGTGTTTTTATAGACAACAGTCCAGAAACAGTACAAGAAGTTAATTTCTACATCAAAGCATCTTTCCAGGAGCCACCCTTGCCGAATTCGTCAGTCCAGAGATAAAGTTGTCTTGATGAGTAAGTCTAAACCAATACAGTGCCAATCATCAAACATCTTCATCGACTGCAGTCCAGAAATCTGTCGCGAATAAAAAATTTATATTACTTAAATTTATAATCGTTTTTGGTAGTGGGATTGTTCAATTTGTTCATACATCTTGAATATTTATCCTGTAAATATTTCTGACAGCTTTTATAGTTTTAGCGGAAATAGGCTAAAACTAGCACACCACTTTGGGCAAATATTCACTGGAAAAAATATTTTAATTACAAGCTTTTCTTAATTTTGATAATAATTATTTTCTCGATTGTCCTCTCTAGATTCACTTATCGAGTAGTATTTTAGAGCCCCATTCTTTTACATTATTCGCTTATAATATTTTTTATATTTTTAAATTAACATAGAGTACGGAAGTTACATTTGCGATTCAAAATATGCAATGGACTATGCTAACAAAACGAGGAAGAAAGGATCTTCTAATTATGATGATTCGAGCATCCCGACCAATAGAGTTGCATGGTTCGTCTATCGTTGTAATGTCGTTCAAAACATTTGTCAAAGTTTGTATAAATTAATTCTTTGATGATCAAAATTCGTCTTTTGCATGGCATGATGAAAATTTTAACTTTTTCAGATCGCAAAGTCTGCATATACTACTTATAACTTGCTGAACAGTGCTTTCTAATTATAATACTAGGAATGTAATTGCTAACTGTTATATCGCCACGCCGGTTTATTAACAATTATTTTAGGACTTAAAATCGGGGAAAACAATTCTGGTGGCGAGAAAAATTATAAAGACGATCTTTAAATATTTCGAGAAGATTTTAAACAAATGGATTTTCATGAATAAAGTGGTCTGTATCGTTTTAATAATAAATTCTTGTACTAATACAACAACCTCTGCTAAAACATTTGCAAGTCTCGTTAATTTCATGTATTTCGTTCTGTTATTGTCCTAAAATAAATTTTGTAATGTAAAATGCCAAATTATTTCTCTATTCATTTTTATTTATTATATATGTCAAACGCAATTTATCTAATATCGGGCTTCTTTGGATGAATCCTCAATGATTCATCGTCTAATGTATTGTGTTTCAAAGAGTGAATTTTGATACTGAAGACTAAAAACAATGAGTGTAAAATCAAGGATTACTGTTCATGATTATTGATTATACCGAGGAACTTTTTACAATACAGAATTTAACCTAGGTACTGCTTTTAAAATGCACGGATCGAAACATAGTTATAGAACAATTTTTCCATAACTGCATGGGTGCAGACTTAAGAATTATTGATGATCATAATAGTACCCTACGAGAATGTCGTCGCATATTTCACTTTTTTTTTAAACCGAAATTTCTGAATTATTGATACAAAGTGTATCACAATAGGAAAAAGGAGGATTTAAAGAAAAAAAATTCTCTTAGCATTTTTTTCATCATAAAAATCGACATGTACTTTTTGAACTTATTAACAGAAGCATTTTATCAATTTTCATTCTCTGACAACAAAGATGTTTGAGTCAAGTTCCTTTGCGAATTTATTTTTTCTCTATTAATCGAACAAAAATAGATAACTGAATAAATATACAAAAATTAGACTGTGGTAAAAATGATAATTAGAAATGGGGTCAAGCTTTACACGGGTCAAATTTCAATCGCAATTTTCAGCCTCTTTGGTCTGTGGCGGCCTCAAAGTTGGAACACAAAGTGGAAAATTTGGTTATATGAAACTTATTCTACTCTTATGATAACTTTGTATATTTTATTTACATTTACACTTTTGATGTACCTCATCAAGGTATCAAAAAATACGGACAGTTTTACAGAAAGTTTGTACAACTTTCTTGCAGTTTTTACTATTCTTATTAAGAAGATAAATGTTATTGTGAAACGTAAGACGATCATTTATCTAAGAGAAATGTTTTTAGACAAACTTTGCCAACCACGTGATCTTCATGAATTGGAAACATTGCAGAAACGTTCGAAAAACTGCAGGTAGATAATAACTTCATTAACTTTTAATTTGATTTGAATTTTAGAAATAATTTTATAATTGCTATATGATATGAATTGTGATGGTTTTAAAAATTCTGAATCTAGTTAATTTTAATGAATATTTTAGATTGATTATGTTTATTTTACTTTCGTTATTCTTTATAACGGCATTAGTAGCCGTTTTTTCTCCATTACTCAAGAAAAAAAATGTAACACTTCCTTTTTCTGGATGGTATCCTTATTCTCTGGAGTCTGAGGGTTTTTTTGTTTCGACATATTTGTTTCAATCAGTTTGCATCATTATGGCTGCTTGCACAACAGCTTCTGTTGAGGGGTTAGCTTTAGCAATCATTCCTCAGATTTGCACACAATTGGAAATAATTTTTTACAGGCTACATTATCTTCCTAACTTGTTGATGAAACACAGGTTCAATGATGAGGATTGTCTGAAGGAAACAATGTTCGTCAAGGATTGCGTGAAGCACCACATGCACATTTACGCGTAAGTTAAATACTTCATTTGAATTTAATTTAGTACTAGAACAAACTAACAAGCGCTAACTGCTTATAATAAAAAAAAGTGAAACAACCCTGACCCACTAAAATCCGTAATACTTCTTTTGGGTCCCTTTGCATTAAGAAAATTATTAAAAACAAATAAATGTTAATGGAGCAAATTTAATTTGTTTATTAAGAAATTTACCACAATATTCACCAAAATCGAACGGTATAAAAGGTGCCACCCTTGCCGAATTCATCAGTCTAGAGATAGTTGTCTTGATGAGTAAGTCTAAACCAGAACTGTGCCAGTTATCAAGTACCTTCATCTACTACAGTCCTGAAATAGTACAAGTGGTTAATTTCTAAATTAAATCACCTTTCTATTTTTCTTATACTGTAACCTTATTGAGCAGTGAAAAGAAGAATACTGTTCCTTATGCTATCTTCCTCCATAAAAAAGGTGATACAAACAATGTCCCAAATTAAAACCACCTGCAATTAAATTCTCAAACATCATTTAATTCCTAAATTTTACCATTAACATTTACTTACTTAGATTAGGTGAACAATTAAACAATTTGTTCGGAGTGGTGATTTTCGTCCATTTTTTCACGTCAATGATTAGTTTGTGTGCTCTGATCTATCAATTGTCAAGATTGAGCCTACAGAATCCAATGTTTTGGCTAATGTTATCATCGACGGGATGTGTGACTTTACAAAATTGTCTTTATTGTTTTTATGGAGAGAAACTTATACAAAAGGTAAAAACAGATTTTGCAGCTACTCCCTAAAAATTCATCTAAGGACTATAAATTTCAAAAATCTGTTGTACCAAATTTTCATTTAAAATAGAGCATGGCGATTGCAGATGCAGTTGAACAGATGAACTGGATCACTCTATCACAACAATCGAAACGAGTTCTTCTAATTTTAATGATTCGATCTTCTCTGCCTATAAAATTGACAGGCTCGTCAATTGTTGTAATGTCGATAAAAACTTTCGTAAAGGTATAAAAAGGTTTCGTAAAAACTTTCTATTTTCTAAAAATAGTAATAAGATATTTTAAATAATTTTGATTTTTAGATAATGAAGTCTGCTTATTCAGCCTATAATTTATTGAAAAATACTTATTAATTAGAATTTGTAGTTCTTGTGCTGTAAAAAGACGAAATGCCATAATAAGGTAGATGGGTTACAACCCTTATAATGCTTTCCAGAATATTGTAAGACAAAATACAAAACTTTAATTTCTAAATTTACATAAACTGGATATTATTTAAAAACTAATTTTAATTTTACTGTAACTGAACCTTAGAGTGATTAAAATAATAAAATCTACTAATCTTTATAAAGGTTGCTTTTTCTGAATAGCATATATTTTAAAAGATCTATTGTACTTTCAAGTATCTTGTATTTAAAAACAATGAGTAACTTCTAGACCTATTTAAGACTCTACTAGTTATTGATTTAGAAGAAAAATATTCCCTTTTTATGAAATAGCCTCCTTTAACATTCACAGATCGAAATATTATTGTGAGGTAACTTTTTAACCGCAAAGAGATTCCCATGCAGCTTTCAGAATTATTAATGACGATAATAGCATACCAAAGATAAAGTCGCGGAAAGAAAGTCACCCCTTTTAAGCGAAGATTTTTAATTATTTACGAAATTTTACCAAAAGGGAAGAAAAAATGTTTCTCTTTATATCACATCATCTAGAGGATGATGTTCATAGTTTATACTCATTGTAAGTTATTTAATTTTCACGGATAGAATGATTAGAATTTTCTTATTTTGAAAATATTATTGAACATGTTATTTCGAAATGATGTTCAACTTTACACTGGACAAATTTCAATCAAACTTTTATCTTTTTTTGGCTTTTGGAAACCATTAGAATTTAATACTAAATGGATGAGTATTTTCTATCAACTCTACTCCTGTCTGATGGTTTTTTTATATTCTACATTCACATTTACCCTGTTAATGTATTTCAAAAATATTTGGGAAAATATTGATAGTTTAATGTTGAATTTATATTATTTTTGCGCGATATTATCTATTCTTATTAAACAAATTATTATTTTGGTGAAACGTAATATAATTGTTGACTTGCAAGAACAACTGTTGCATAAAGTATGTCAACCAAGGGATTTTTATGAAAGTGAAATTTTACGAAAGATATCGCATATATGTAGGTAGGTATCTAACATATTATTTGTTTAATACCCTCTGGGCACGAAAACATCTTTGTTCTAGAAGCGTTCCTAAAACGTTTTTAGAACGTTTCATATTCTCCACATCGTCTTAAAAATGTTTTATGTTCTAAAAAACGTTTATTAAGTTTTATAAGTTTATATTTATTATTAAGTTTTTGTACCAGTATTATTATGTTTATAGGTCAAATGGAATTATTTTTCTTGTATTATTAAGTGTCACTGCATTGGTGGCAATTGCTTCTCCAGTATTGAAGAGAAAAAATGTAACGCTTCCGCTTGAAGCTTGGACTCCTTACACATTAGACTCGAATGTTTTGTTTTCTGTTACCTATGTTTTTCAATGCATTGCCCTGGTGATGACTGCATGTACATCAGCTTCTGTGGAGGGTTTGGTTTTAACGTTTGTACTCCAAACTTGTGCTCAACTTGAGTTACTTTTTCATCGTCTTGAATTAATTCCTTATTTACTGAAAGATTACAAGATGCATTCTGAGTTTTGGATAGATGAATCGAATCTTATTACGGATTGTATAAAAAATCATATGCACATTTATATGTAAGTAAAATAATGTACAATAATTCCTCATAAGAAATTTTGTCTTTGCAATGCTTAATTAGCCAGACTTGGTATTCTAAATTTCACATGATTGAGCGTTCCAACAATTTTTATTATTCTTTTAGGATAGGCGATCGATTGAACAACGTATTTGGACTTGTGATTTTCACGCAATTTTTTTCGTCCATGATTAGTCTTTGTGCCGTTGTTTACGAACTTTCATGCCTAAGTTTATCTAATTCAACATTTTGGCTGATGCTGTCCTGTATGAGTAGTGTTATTATGCAAACATTTCTTTACTGCTTCTATGGAGAGAAAATAATTCAAAAGGTGAGACCTTTTATCCTTATTACATACAAACAAACCTTTTTCTATTTTATTTTATTTACCTTGTGTTTGTCACTTTTTCGCTTTTAATATACTTCTGTACTTTTTGACACTCTTGACATATAAAGACTTTTGGCTCACTTCGTCTTTCGACTTGCCTCAAGGCACTTCTCGGACAAATAAATTTTTGCTTGAAGAATAAAGCAAAAATGGTCCCAAATATTTGGAAATATTCATTGCATTGAAAAAGAAAGTAAATAAGTCGTTGTTGTAAGAAGTGAAGAATTTAATAATCTAATTAATGAGTATACAGTAATACACGTGAAAATTAATGAAGAATATCACGATGGTGAATTTCGGACAGCAATCATTCAAGAGGAAGCACGAAACATGAATAAAAACTTCAAGTAAAATTTTATAACCCATTTAGAGAAATCAAATCTGCTAATCAGTATTTCGCCATCCTCCGATAGTCACTAATCTGCCTAATACAGGGACTAAGGACATGTGCCAAAATTAAATCAATAATAAAAAAGTGACCCTAAAAGTAATTAAAGTGTAATCATATTGTCCCCTTGCTTGGAACTGTAAAAAAGGTGCCACCCTTGCCTAATTCATCAGTCAAGAAAAAGTTGTCTTGATGAGTAAGTCTAAACCAATACAGTGCCAATCATCAAACATCTTCATCGACTACATGCCAGAAATAGTACAAGAAGTTAATTTCTACATCAAATCACCTTTCCAGGTGCAACCCTTGCCCAATTCATCAGTCAAGAAAAAGTTGTCTTGATGAGTAAGTCTAAACCAGTAAAATGCCAGTTATCAAGTGTCTTTTTCAACTACATGCCAGAAGTAGTATAAGAAGTTAATTTCTACATCAAATCACCTTTCCTGGTGCAACCCTTGCCCAATTCATCAGTCCAGAAAAAGTTGTCTTGATGAGTAAGTCTAAACCAATACAGTGCCAATCATCAAACATCTTCATCGACTACATGCCAGAAATAGTACAAGAAGTTAGTTTCTACATCAAATCACCTTTCCAGGTGCCACCCTTGCCCAATTCGTCAGTCAAGAGAAAGTTGTCTTGATGAGTAAGTCTGAACCAGTAAAATGCCAGTTATCAAGTGTCTTTTTCAACTAAATGCCAGAAGTAGTACAAGAAGTTAGTTTCTACATCAAATCACCTTTCCAGGTGCCACCCTTGCCCAATTCGTCAGTCAAGAGAAAGTTGTCTTGATGAGTAAGTCTAAACCAGTAAAATTCCAGTTATGAAGTGTCTTTTTCTACTACATGCCAGAAGTAGTACAAGAAGTTAATTTCTACATCAAATCACCTTTCCTGGTGCAACCCTTGCCCAATTCATCAGTCAAGAAAAAGTTGTCTTGATGAGTAAGTCTAAACCAATACAGTGCCAATCATCAAACATCTTCATCGACTACATGCCAGAAGTAGTACAAGAAGTTAGTTTCTACATCAAATCACCTTTCCAGGTGCCACCCTTGCCCAATTCGTCAGTCAAGAGAAAGTTGTCTTGATGAGTAAGTCTAAACCAGTAAAATTCCAGTTATGAAGTGTCTTTTTCTACTACATGCCAGAAGTAGTACAAGAAGTTAATTTCTACATCAAATCACCTTTCCTGGTGCAACCCTTGCCCAATTCATCAGTCAAGAAAAAGTTGTCTTGATGAGTAAGTCTAAACCAATACAGTGCCAATCATCAAACATCTTCATCGACTACATGCCAGAAATAGTATAAGAAGTTAGTTTCTACATCAAATCACCTTTCCAGGTGCCACCCTTGCCCAATTCGTCAGTCAAGAGAAAGTTGTCTTGATGAGTAAGTCTAAACCAGTAAAATTCCAGTTATGAAGTGTCTTTTTCAACTACATGCCAGAAATAGTACAAGAAGTTAATTTCTACATCAAATCACCTTTCCTGGTACAACCCTTGCCCAATTCATCAGTCAAGAAAAAGTTGTCTTGATGAGTAAGTCTAAACCAGTTCAGTGCCAATCATCAAACATCTTTATCGACTACATGCCAGAAATAGTATAAGAAGTTAGTTTCTACATCAAATCACCTTTCCAGGTGCCACCCTTGCCCAATTCGTCAGTCAAGAGAAAGTTGTCTTGATGAGTAAGTCTAAACCAGTAAAATGCCAGTTATCAAGTGTCTTTTTCAACTACATGCCAGAAGTAGTATAAGAAGTTAATTTCTACATCAAATCACCTTTCCTGGTGCAACCCTTGCCCAATTCATCAGTCCAGAAAAAGTTGTCCTGATGAGTAAGTCTAAACAAATACAGGGCCAATCATCAAACATCTTCTTCGACTACATGCCAGAAATAGTACAAGAAGTTAATTTCTACATCAAATCACCTTTCCAGGTGCCACCCTTGCTAAATTCGTCAGTCAAGAGAAAGTTGTCTTGATGAGTAAGTCTAAACCAGTAAAATGCCAGTTATCAAGTGTCTTTTTCAACTACATGCCAGAAGTAGTACAAGAAGTTAATTTCTACATCAAATCACCTTTCCTGGTGCAACCCTTGCCCAATTCATCAGTCAAGAAAAAGTTGTCTTGATGAGTAAGTCTAAACCAGTACAGTGCCAATCATCAAACATCTTTATCGACTACATGCCAGAAATAGTATAAGAAGTTAGTTTCTACATCAAATCACCTTTCCAGGTGCCACCCTTGCCCAATTCGTCAGTCAAGAGAAAGTTGTCTTGATGAGTAAGTCTAAACCAGTAAAATGCCAGTTATCAAGTGTCTTTTTTAACTACATGCCAGAAGTAGTACAAGAAGTTAGTTTCTACATCAAATCACCTTTCCAGGTGCCACCCTTGCCCAATTCGTCAGTCAAGAGAAAGTTGTCTTGATGAGTAAGTCTAAACCAGTAAAATTCCAGTTATGAAGTGTCTTTTTCTACTACATGCCAGAAGTAGTACAAGAAGTTAATTTCTACATTAAATCACCTTTCCTGGTGCAACCCTTGCCCAATTCATCAGTCAAGAAAAAGTTGTCTTGATGAGTAAGTCTAAACCAGTAAAATTCCAGTTATGAAGTGTCTTTTTCAACTACATGCCAGAAATAGTACAAGAAGTTAATTTCTACATCAAATCACCTTTCCTGGTACAACCCTTGCCCAACTCATCAGTCAAGAAAAAGTTGTCTAGATGAGTAAGTCTTAACCAGTACAGTGCCAATCATCAAACATCTTCATCGACTACATGCCAGAAATAGTATAAGAAGTTAGTTTCTACATCAAATCACCTTTCCAGGTGCCACCCTTGCCCAATTCGTCAGTCAAGAGAAAGTTGTCTTGATGAGTAAGTCTTAACCAGTACAGTGCCAATCATCAAACATCTTCATCGACTACATGCCAGAAATAGTATAAGAAGTTAATTTCTACATCAAATCACCTTTCCTGGTACAACCCTTGCCCAACTCATCAGTCAAGAAAAAGTTGTCTTGATGAGTAAGTCTTAACCAGTACAGTGCCAATCATCAAACATCTTCATCGACTACATGCCAGAAATAGTACAAGAAGTTAATTTCTACATTAAATCACCTTTCCAGGTGCCACCCTTGCCCAATTCGTCAGTCAAGAGAAAGTTGTCTTGATGAGTAAGCACAGGAGCTAAAACCAGCAGATCCCTTCAGGCAAAAAAGTCACTAATTGCAATCTGGAAAAATATTTTAAATACAAGCTTTTTTTAATTTTATTAATAATTATTTTCTCGATTGTCCACTCTAGATTCACTTCTCTAGTAGTATTTTATAGCCCTATTCTTGTACATTATTCGCTTACAATATATTTCATAATATTTTCAAATTTACACAGAGTAAGTAAGTTTCATTTGCCATTCACAAAATGCAATGGACTGTGTTGACAAATGGAGGAAGAAAGGATCTTCTAATTATGATGATAAGAGCATCACGACCAATAGAGTTGCATGGCTCGTCTGTCGTTGTAATGTCGTTCAAAACATTTGTCAAAGTTTGTATAAATTAATTCTTAGATGATCAAAATTCGTCATTTCCATGGCATGATGAAAATGTAAATTTTAACTTTCAGATCGCAAAGTCTGCATATTCTGCTTATAATTTACTGAACAGTGCTTTCTAATTATTAAACTTAATGCTAAGTGTAGATACATAAGAGATAAAACTGTCGGTCGACTAAAATTAATTAAGAAATATATTAATTAAAATAATAAGTGCAATATTAAGAAGATGACAAAAAATTGTCTAATACAATATTTGATAATGAAGAAATACATCATAGCTAACTTTTAGACTTCATTTCATCGTGTAAAATTCGAAATCATAATATCTATTTGTAATTTGAAAAATTTCTTTAGTTACATTTAAGGAGTGCATCCACTTAGGATTTTTGAAATAGTCGATTAAATGATTTAGTCTAACTGTATGTAACTTCTTAACCAAATTTTAAAATCTTAACTTCCTTTTCACTAAATTTAATTTTACCACAAATTTTAGATAAATCAAGATATATGTGGGAAATTAGTGACTATCTAATTTTATAAGATGTTTTTACTTTGATGTCCTGAACAACAATGAAGAACTTCTGGGAATATAAAAGTCTCTTACTGATTATTGATTTAAATAGGAAAAGTTTTTTCTAATACAGCTTACGGAGTAGACTTCTTTAACATTCACAGATCGAAATACGATCGTGAGGTGAAATTTCACTTAAAGAAATTCTCATGCTTGAAGAATTATTTATTACAATAATTGCATACCAAGATAGAAGAAAGAAAAAAAGTCACCCCTTTTAAGCGACGTTTTTAAATTATTGAAGAAACTGTATCAAAAGGGGGAGAGTTAAAGATGCTAACTATTTTTTCCTCAGTGTACATCCTTACATTATTATCTTTTGAGAAAACTTTTCCTTTTTTTAAATGCGCTCCTATTTATAAAATTTTGTATCAATATAATGCCAAATAAAACTTTATTTAAACAATGATTGCGATCTACTAAGTTACTGTTATTAGAATATAATTATTAGTTGTTTTTTCTAAAAATTTGATATTATTAAAAAAACTGTTAACCACTTTTATGGAAACAAGATAAGTAATATTATTTATCTGTTAGAAAAGAAAATGATAATTCAAAATTACGCCAAACTTTATACGGGTGAAATTTCAATTACACTTTTATCGTTTTTCGGACTTTGGAAACCTAGTAATTTTAATAAATGGTTAAGTAGCTTATATGAAATTTATTCCGCTTTTATGGTTATTTTCTACACTACATTTGCATTTACAGTGTTTGTATATTTCAAAGATGTTTGGAGAGACATTAATGGTTTAATGTTGAATTTCTATTATTTCTTCTCAATATTCTCCATTTTCATTAAACAAATTATTATACTGATACGACATAATTTAATAATTGACTTTCAAGAAAAGCTTCTGTGCAAAATATGCCAACCAAGAGATTCTTACGAAATAGAAATTTTAAAAAAGCAGTCGCAAATATGCAGGTGTGTGAATAGTAACCTTAAGGAATATTTGAAAATTGGGATTTTAATGAATGTTTATAATTGTTTTGTAGATTAAATGGGATAGTGTTTCTTTTTTTACTGAGTGTAACGGCATTAATAGCGGTAGTGTCTCCAGTGATAATAGGAACGAATATCAACCTTCCGATTACAACCTGGCATCCTTATAAAATTGACTCTGAAACTTTGTTTTATTTTACGTATGTTATACTATCAATGGCTGTTATAATGTCTGCTTGTACGACAGCGTCTGTTGAGGGATTAGTTTTAACTTTTGTTCTACAAACTTGTGCACAACTCGAGGTTTTTTTTCATCGACTTCACTTGCTTCCTCATTTGCTGAAAGATCAGCATTCAACCTGTTCTGAAATATGGATACAAGAAACGAAAATTATTGCGGATTGTGCGGAGCATCATATTCATATATATTTGTGAGTAATGTTAGCAAACTTAAGAGTTTGCAAATTAAGTTTTTCAAATTATATTATTATTAAAATTATGATTATCCAAATGGTCCATGTCGAAGCTTTCCTAATTTTTCAGATTAGGAGAACAACTGAACAATGTGTTTGGTTTAGTTATATTCGCACAATTTTTTTCATCGACCATAAGCCTTTGTGCAATTGTCTATGAATTAACATGTTTGAGCTTAAGCAGCTCGACGTACTTGTTTCTGCTCTTCTGCATGGGAAGCGTTATGATGCAAACCTTTCTCTATTGTTTTTATGGTCAGAAAATTATGCAAAAGGTAATGAGAATTTCGTTTTTAATCAGGTCATTTAGAAAAGTATTTATCAAAATGTTTTATTTAAATTTCATCTTCATTGTGCACTTTTAGTTTGCGGTAAATTTTTTCTAAGTTTGATTGTACCTAGAGCACGGAAGTTTCATATGCTATTCAGCAAATGGATTGGACTGTGTTGACGAATCGCGGAAGGAAGAATTTACTGATCATGATGATACGTGCATCCCAACCGATAGAGTTGCGTGGTTCGTCTATGGTTGTAATGTCATTCAAGACATTTGTAGAAGTTTGTTTACAACATTTATATAATTCGAATCAAGAATTCCTTCCAATACTTTAGTAGTTTGTTTAATATTTATAAATTATAAGTAGGAGAAATTTGAAAAAAGATTTAGAACATATTTTCAACATTCTCTGAAAATGTTCTTGCTATTTTAAGATATCTTTAGATCCTAAAAACTTTTTTAGACTTTGCAGCTTTTTCAAATTTTAATTATAGAACTTTCTATTATAGATCACAAAGTCTGCATATTCAGCGTACAACTTACTAAGCAGGACATTTTAATATCATTGTCGTGTTTGGAACGACATTAAAAAAACTAAAAATGGTGTTTTAATAGAATCCAGAGATATAGCCAAAGATTAGTACTAAAAACTGTTATACAGTCCAAATAGAGAATCTTGTACTATTTTTTAAAAGTATTGTTATATTCTGAAGGAACCTACTCAAAACCCATCCTATGTTACATCCTAAGTCAAAATATTTGATACGTGGACAACAGAAACCAAATCTGCTAATCAGTATTTCGCCACACTCCGATAGAGTCACTCACCTGACAAAATTAAATCACATGTGCCAAAATTAAATCAATAATAAAAAATTGACCCCGAAAGTAATTGAAGTGTAATCATATTGTCCCCTTGCTAGGAACTCTGAATAAAAGGTACCTCCCTTGTCGAATTCGTCAGTCCAGAGATAAAGTTGTCTTGATGAGTAAGTCTAAACCAATACTTTGCCAGTCATCAAGTGTCTTCATCGACTCCAGTCCAGAAATAGCACAAGAAGTTAATTTCTACATCAAATCACCTTTCCAGGTGCCACCCTTACCGAATTCGTCAGTCCAAAGATAGTTGTCTTGATGAGTAAGTCTAAACCAATACAGTGCCAATCATCAAACATCTTCATCGACTACATGCCAATAATAGTAGAAGAAGTTAATTTCTCTTCAAATCACCTTTCCAGGTGACACCCTTGCCGAATTTGTCAGTCAAGAGATAGTTGTCTTGATGAGTAAGTCTAAACCAGTACTGTATACTAGTCATCAAGAGTCTTCATCGACTCCAGTCCAAAAGTAGCTAATTTTGCAGAAATTCTAATTTTGATTCAATGTTTCTTATGACACTTCTGGATCTATCTACTCTGAATTGTAAAGGGTTCAAATAAATAGTTTTAATATCTAAATTTAAATACTAAAGCTAGATCTTTTTTTGCAGAAAAATCAAATTATACATAATTTAGATTAATATATTAATTATAATTACAAAGATCCAGAGAGGATTTTTTGTTGTCACCGACTAAAAAGACTTAAATAGGTTGTGGTAGACCAGTTGTAAATTAAAAAATCCGAACAGAATGTCATCATGTTGCCATTGACTTTAAAAAAGTGGATAAATTTCTACAAGATGGACTTTAATTGCGATATAAACGTGCATAGTCCGCGTAGATCGATGCTTGATTATAGAGCAATTTTTCTACAATACAGATTCCCATACTGGCATTTCAATTATTTACCCTAACGATATCATGGTCATAGGCTGATTCTTCACCCTTTTTTTACCAACGACATTTGTGAATTATTTACGAGAGTAAGGGGGATTTGAAAAAAAATATTTTATCCCTTGACTTTTTTTCTTATTATACTATCACTTCAGAGAAAGTACAATTTTATTTCTCTAACCATGCTAAACACAATTCAGGATCAAAATATCTACCCACTTGCAATAATTCAAAATTAATCTTCAACTTACAAAATTTTAATATTACTTAATTTGTTTTATGAAAAATGCTAATTCGAAATGAAAGCAAACTTTACACGGGTGAAATTTCCATTAAATTTTTTTCATTATTCGGTCTATGGAAACCTACAAGTTGGAATTCAAAGTGTAAAATTTGGTGCTATCGTTTATATTCAGTAGTTATGATCTCTATTTATATTTGCTTTACATTCACGCTCTTAATGTATCTTATGACAGTATCTAAAAATACAGAAAGTTTTACGTTAAATTTATATAACTTTTTTGCAATTTTCGCTGTATTTGTTAAACAAATTAGCATTATGATGAAACGTAAAATTATCATTGATTTGAAGGAAAAGTTTTTAGATGAACTTTGCCAACCGCGAGATGTACATGAAGTGAGGATACTGCAGAAACATTCTCAAATTTGCAGGTATGGGAACTGTTTAGAAGTTTAATTTTTATCGTTGCTTTGTAATGATAGATATTTTTGTTTTTGCGGAATAAGCATTTAATTGTAGTTAAGTTGATGGAGTACATCTTGATTACCAAAACGAAATATTTGTAGGGGCTTCTCTACAGATAAGAAATTCGAAGTAGACAATAAAAGGAATTCGTGGTATAAAAATATTTATCATTACAACTTTCCCATTGTAGAAATCTTTTTAAGATAAATGTTTAGATCTTAAATTTTTAGGTCAAACGTAAAAATCTTCCTGATGTTATTTACCATCACAGGTTTAGTTGCAGTCCTCTCTCCATTTACAAAAGGAAAGAATATGACTCTTCCATTAACAGCCTGGCATCCCTATACTCTTGAATCGAGAGTTATGTTTTGCTTGACATATTTATTTCAGGCGATTGCTATTATAATGGCAGCCTGTACATCAGCATGTGTTGAAGGTTTGGCGTTAACAATCATACTTCAAATTTGTGCACAACTGGATATAATGTCTCATCGACTTTACTTACTTCCCCGCTTACAGCAGCAAGAAGATTGTCGTCGTGAAACTAGAATTATATCCGACTGCATAAAACACTATATACATATTTATTCGTAAGCATAAGTAATTGCTTGTACCATAATTTTTTAATCTTATTCGATAAAATATCTTTAATTATTTAATTAATTACTTATTTGTAATTATTTAAAGGTTGGGAAAACAGTTAAATAATTTGTTTGTGTTGGTGATCTTTGTGCAATTTTTCACATCGATGATTAGTCTCGGTGCTATTATATACCAATTATCTAGATTGAATCCAAACAATCCTACATATTGGATGATGGTGGCTTCCATTGGCAGTGTGACGACACAAAGTTTTCTATATTGTTTTTATGGAGAGAAAATCATACAAAAAGTAGGTATATTAATTAATTACTTATTTTAGTATTAGCCATTCGTTCTAGTGATTTCTAAGAGATTTCGACTTCATTTCGACAAAGATCTTCGATCTGCTTTGTAGAATTGTTATGACTGCTACCAATAGGTGACTAACGGTCAAGAACCCAAACAATGTTTAGGCACCGAAAATCCGTTCTACTCCAGGTGTCGGGTACCCGAACCCAAACAAAGGGGACACGGGTACATGAAATTAAAACATGTCGAAGTAGGAATAGTTGGGGGTGAACCCTAACTTTCCTGTCAGGGGGCATCTTCTTAATGTAAAAACCAACATACTTAATCAATAGTATTTGTTTTATAAACACAAGTACAAAGTTGTAACAGAAGGACAATTTTTACATTAATTGTAAATTAAACAGTAGCACAACTTATCTTCAGGAAGGTTCATTTTATACTGACCCTTTCACGAACAGTCAGAAGACCTGGAAAGTAGATATCCATAACATTACGACTGCAACTATTACTCCCTTTTGCCTGTTAGTGATGATCCTTTCATATCTAGCAGATTACAATAACTAATTTAATTTTTTACAATTAGTAATTAATTTTAAGTAGTTAATTAAATTCATAATACACTTTAAAATAAATGGATTATTTTTTGATATTTAAAATAGAGTACTGCAGTTGCAGATGCAGTTCATCAGATGAATTGGATTTTATTAACGAACAGATCAAAAAAGGATCTTTTAATCATTATGACTCGAGCAATTAGTCCCATAAAGTTAACTGTTTCAGCAGTTGCTGTAATGTCCATAAAAACGTTTGTAAAGGTAGGTTTTATCAATTTTTGATAAATCATAATCATAACTTTTTGCTGGTGTGCCAATAGGTGTAATCCAATAGGTGTAACGCAAAAAAGCCTTTTGTAAGGTTTTATGTAATACATTATTAAATTTAAAAAATAGTTTTATTTCTCATCTGATATACTTATCTTATCTTATTCTATTTCGCAGATAATAAAATCAGCTTATTCTGCATACAATCTACTGAAGAATGCCTAATACTGCTAATGAATCTAATTCCAACAACTATAATTAATTACATCAAGACATTAATATCTCATTTTAAGTAGATTCAAGTTATGTTGCAATCACATTCTTTCTGGCATAGTGCAAACTCTATGCAACAAAAGTTGAAATTATTTTTATTGAATGCAAGTCAACTGGAGATAAAAATAAGTGCAACATTGCATTCTTTTCAGAAATAACTTTTTTATGCGTAGATCGAAACATAATTGCAGATGAATTTCCCTACCATGAGAATTCCATTAGAAAAAGAGACTGCAATGTTATTGATTATAAAAAAGGGTGATGTAAAAATGTCGTTACTTCTTTCACCGTTTCTTAGGTGGAATTGTAGAATTATTTATAAGGCTTTGAAATGCAGAGGGTTTGGAAAATGACTAAAAAAAAATTATTACACAGTCTTTAAGAAATCCTCGTAGAGAAAGAAATGATACAACCCTTCTGTATAACAGATAGTTAATTTCATATTCCAATTCTGTTGATACCTTTACTTCGAAATATTTTGTTATAACCGCGACTACTATATTTATCATTTACATATTTCTTGAAAATTAAAATGACAAATTCTAATGAAACGTAATTGTTTCTAAATTAAAAAGATTTAAATTAAAATAACCACTGACACAACTGAAAAAGAAATGGTTTTCAATAAAGCTGAAGAAATCTATACAGGTCAAATTTCATTTAGGTTATTCTACATCTTTGGAATGTGGCAACCACTAAACTGGAATTCAAGATGGAAAATTTGGTTGTATCAAATTTATTCTATCTTCATGATTATTTTTTATTTTTCATTCTCAATGACTTTGTTCGTTTATCTTTTTCATGTTTCCGGTGACATGAATATTTTCTCGGAATATTTGTATTATTATCTTTCCAGCGTTGCTATTTTTATTAAACAACTGAATATTATAGCTAAACGCAAAACGGTAATAAAATTGAAAAATAAACTTTTAACCAAGTTTTGTCGACCTCGAGACATTCAGGAATGGGATATCCTCATAAGATGCTCTCAAGATTGCAGGTAAGGAATTATGTTCAATGGGGTCTTTGATTTTAAATCTTATTTTTATGATCCAATGGCGAATTTAATTTGTCATGGTACAATGGTTCCAGATAATGAAAATGTGGCCAAAAGTAATAAACTTGCATATCTGATTTAGGTAGTCCCGTACTAGCTAAAAATATCTTTTTGATTCCCTTGGGTTTTGAACCTTAATATTCGCCTGCGGAAACTAAATTTTTGTTAGCTTGCCTTTCTGTATGAGCGATGTTATGCTTTTCAGTCCATTTTTAGTATTCATATACCTACGTAGACAAATTTTTGGTAGCTTGTCTTTCTGTATGAGCGATGTTAAGCTTTTAAGTCCATCCTTGATTGTCATGTTGACATTCGTCTGCAGAGGGTCTTTGTTAAACTTCAGAATTTTGCTGACCTCCTATTGTATTTTTAAGATGCTGCTGCCTTTTACCACCGTTTTTATTGCAGGAAGCATTACTGAAACAGATTTTTGGTGCTCCCAACAAGAAACGTTTTTAAATATCCCTATGTTCCTTGTTTTACATTAGTTTCAGGAATTAATCTAATTTGGGATGAGGATAAGTCAATGAGCCTACTAAATGTTGTGAGAGAATAATTTATTCCATGTTCTAAAAACGTTTTAGAAGTAAAAATTAGCCGAAACATTACCCCGCAGGTACTCTTCCATGTTTTTACAATCGCTCATACTTGATGTTTGTCCCGTATCGTAGAAACAATTGAGGACACGGTTAGGCCACTTTTGGGTATTTGGAACCATTGTGCGGTGCAGTTCTCTAAAACAAATCAGGCTAAAGATACAGAAAAATTCGAAGAATCAATGAATGGTTCCCGATCCTATCTAATCTAATATTCAATATCTGATTACTTCGCCACACTACTTTTCTCTTAATTAATGACCAAATACAACATTTTTCAGATGGAAGATAGTTTTATTTCTAGTAGTCTTTAGTATAACTGCTGGAACCACTTTTATGTCTCCACTCTTAAAAAGAAGCAATTTAGCACTTCCATTAAGAGGATGGTACCCTTATAACATGGATACTAAGCTAATGTTTACTTTCACTTATTTTTACCAAGTAATAGCCGTTGTGATGTCATCCTACATAATAGCAGCCGTTGACGGATTTGCCTTAACATTAATGTTGCATATTTGTGAACAACTTGAAATTTCCATCCACAGACTTCAATTTCTGTCAGAAATTTACGAGAAAAGAAATTCGAATAATAATTTATGTCTTCAAGAAGCAAAAATTCTTAAGGACTGCATGCAGCATCATACACAAGTGTATTCGTAAGTTGATTTATCAATTTTGCTGCGAAGATACTTTGCTCCATAAAATTAAAATGTTTGATACATTTACACATGACATTCATAGTGTAAGTAGAACAGTCATTTGAGTTTTAATAGTGAATACAATTAATTTTAGCATGGGAACAATCTTAAACGATTTATTCGGTTTGGTTATATTTGTTCAATTTTTTGCATCCATTTTAAGTATTTGTGTAATTGTTTATCAGTTGTCGAGATTAGATTCACAAAATCCGACATACTGGATAATGGTAGCTTCTGTAGGATCTTCTCTGACGCAGACATTTTTGTACTGTCTGTATGGTGAAATACTTATTCAGAAGGTAATAAGTAATAAGTATCGCAATTATTGAATAAGGATTTCCGCTTGAAATTTTTTTTCCTGAATCTAAAACACTTACCCCCTGTTGAACACCATAGACTTTAGAAAAATCCACAATTGCAATTTTTACTTGGAGATTAAAATAGTTTTGCCTAATTCAAATATTCTTTTTAGTAGAGTACAGCAGTGTCAAATGCAATTTACGAAATTAACTGGATCAGCTTTTCGCACAAAACAAAGAAAGCTCTTACTGTAATGATGTTGCGAACATCTAAACCCATAAGTCTCTCTGGTGCATCTGTTGTTGTTATGTCGATAAAAACTTTTATGAATGTTCGTATTCTATCGAAACAATCGAAAGAAATTTGATGATTTCGGTAAACATTCAGCAGGTATGAAATTTATCAGTAGCATACTGTATTGTTTTATTTTCAGATCATCAAATCAGCTTACTCTGCCTACAATCTTCTTGGTAGCACTAAATAAATAGATATAATTTTACTGGAATCGAAAATTCAAAGCTCACCTATTTTCTGACATAACAAAATTGTGATTTATTTATTTCAACTCAAAATATGTATTTAAAAAGTTACCCTTTTGAGGATGTCATAAAGGTATAACAAAATTTTAATTCTATTCAAAAAAGCACTAAATAAAATGTTTAGTTGTAACTTATAAATGAAATTATAACTTGTTAACAAGTTTTTATAATGAAGAGAGCTAACTTTAATTAGTTCAAGTTTAATAAATATTGAAAATTAAATTTACCTGTTTCATCATTGCCTAAAATTTTGAAGAGGACAGCGATTGCAACCCAGAAGAAACGAACAGGCTAGAAAAATTAAAAGAAAATTGTTTTTATGCGTTTCTCAGTTAAAAGAAAAATATAGTCGTCCGATACCACCAAATGACTTTTTTATGCGTAGATCGAAACATAATTGCAAAAAAATTTTCCTACCATGAGAATTCCATTAGAAAAAAAAGTTTGCAATGTTATTGATTATGAAAAAAAGGGTGAATGTAAAAATGTCGTTACTTCTTTCATCGTTTCTTAAGTGGAATTGTAGAATAATTTATAAGGGTTCGACATGCAGAGGGTTGGTGTTTAAAAAAAAAGATTATTACTCAGTCTTTAAGAAACCCTCAGAGAGAAAATATGAGTTTCCATAACAGCATTTGATTTTATATTCTCCTTATGTTGATAATTTTACGTCAAAATATTTTATCATTACTGCGTACTACTATATTTAATTATTTACATCTTTTTTGATAATTAAAACAATAAAACGTAATTTTTTCTAAAGACATTACCTAGTCGACTGATATAGCAGAAAAAGAAATGATTTTTCAAAAAGATGAAGAGATTTATACTGGTCAAATTTCATTTACGTTATTTTATATCTTTGGAATGTGGCAACCACTAAACTGGAATTCAAGATGGAAAATTTGGTTGTATCGAATTTATTCTATCTTCATGATTATTTTTTATTTTTCATTCTCAGTAACGTTGATTGTTTATCTTCTTCATGTTACCGGTGATATGAATATTTTTACGGAATATTTGTATTATTTTCTTTACAGCGTTGCTATTTTTATTAAACAACTGAATATTATAGCTAAACGCAAAACGGTAATAAAATTGAAAAATAAACTTTTAACCAAGTTTTGTCGACCTCGAGACATTCAGGAATGGGATATCCTCATAAGATGCTCTCAAGATTGCAGGTAAGGAATTATGTTCAATGGGGTCTTTGATTTTAAATCTTATTTTTATAATCCAATGGCGAATTTAATTTGTCATGGTACAATGGTTCCAGATGATGAAAATGTGGCCAAAAGTAATAAACTTACATATCTGCTTTAGGTTGTACCCTTACCAGCTAAAATCATCTTTTTCATTCTCTTGGGTTTCGAATCTTAATATTCACCTACGGAAACCAAATTTTTGTTAGCTTGTCTTTCTGTATGAGCGATGTTATGCTTTTCAGTCCATTCTTAGTATTCATATACCTACGTAGACCAATTTTTGGTAGCTTGACTTTCTGTATGAGCGATGTTAGGCTTTTAAGTCCATTCTTACTATTCATCTGCGGAGACCAATTTTTGCAAGTTTGTCTTTCTGTATGAGCGATGTTATGCTTTTAAGTCCATCCTTGATTGTCATGTTGACATTCCTCTGGTCTTTGTAAGACTTGAGAATTTTGCTGACCTCTTATTGTATTTTTAAGATGCTGCTGCCTTTTACCTCCGTTTATGTTGGAGGAAGCATTAGTGAAACAGATTTTCGGTGCTCCCAACGCATTGTTTCCCTCCTGCATCCATGAGCCACTACTAACTACCGCCTCGTTCCTAAAAGTTTGACGATGGCTATCAATCATATAATTAGCCTAAGCATTACCCCGCAGGGACTCTTCCATGCTTTTACAATCGCTCATACTTGATGTTTGTCCCGTATCGTGGGAACAGGGTTAATCCACGTTTGAGGTATTTGGAACCTCTGTGATGTGCAGTTCTCTAAAACAGATCATGAAAAATTAATAAACAAATTCATTTAGGTGAAAAAATTTTTCAGGTGGAAAATAGTTATATTTCTAGTGACATTTAGTATAACTGCTGGAACCACTTTCATGTCTCCACTCTTAAAAAGAAGCAATTTAGCACTACCATTAAGAGGATGGTACCCTTATAATTTGGATACTAAGCTAATGTTTACTTTCACTTATTTTTACCAAATAATAGCTGTTGTGATGTCAGCCTACATAATAGCTTCCGTTGACGGATTTGCATTAACATTAATGTTGCAAATTTGTGCACAACTTGAAATTTACATCTACAGACTTCAATTACTATCTGAAATTTATGAGAAAAAAAATTCGAATAATAATTTATGTCTTCAAGAGGCAAAAATTCTTAAGGACTGGATGAAGCATCATACACAAGTGTATTCGTAAGTGGATTTATTAATTTTCCTGCAATGGTACTTTGCCACCATTTATTCATACATTTCCACTGAGAGACTTCTTGATTTGCAGTTAAACTTGGCAAAGAATAAGTGTCTATAATTAAGTTATCACCTAAATGATGAAAGCGTCATTTTATGACAGAAGCATTATAGCAGTACAAAAGGTCTCTCAGTGTAGAAAAAAGTTATGAATTTGATAGTCTTAGTAGAGTTTTAATAGTTAATACAATTAATTTTAGCATGGGGAAAAGTTTAAACGATTTATTCGGTTTGGTTATTTTTGTTCAATTTTTTGCATCTATAATAAGTATTTGTGTAATTATTTATCAATTGTCGAGATTAGATTCACAAAATCCGACATACTGGATGATGGTAGCTTCTGTAGGATCTTCTCTGACGCAGACATTTTTGTACTGTCTGTACGGTGAAAAACTTATTCAGAAGGTAATAAAGTATCGCAATTATTCAATAAGGATTTACCCTCGAAATTTTTTTTCCTGAATTTAAAACACTTACCCTGTTGAACACCATAGACTTTAGAAAAATCCACAATTGCAATTTTTACTTGGAGATTAAAATAGTTCTGCCTAATTCGAATATTCGTTTTAGTAGAGTACAGCAGTTACAAATGCAATTTACGAAATTGACTGGACGCGCTTTTCGCAGAAAACAAAGAAAGATCTGACTGTGATGATGTTACGAACAACCAAACCTATAAGTCTGTCTGGTTCATCTGTTATTGTAATGTCGATAAAAACGTTTATGAATGTTTGTATATTTGTATCGAAAAATGTATTTAATTTTTATTAGGTTTTGTGACACTGTAAAGAATAGTAATTAGTTTTACGTAGACGTACATATGAACAAAAGTATTGTTTTATTTTCAGATCATCAAATCAGCATACTCTGCCTACAATCTTCTTGGCAGTACCAAATAAATTGAATTTTACTGGAATCGAAAATACGAAGGTCACCTAATTTCCCACATAACAACATTGTATGGATTCATTTTATTTAAACTCAAAATAGACATAAGAATCGAATTTAAGAAGTAAAGTTTAGCTAATTGTATTTATATAAATTGTACTAAATAAATTATTTAGTTGTGACTTATCAAAGAAATTCTAACTTCTTAACAAGTATGTATGATGAAGAGAACTGACATTAATTCCTTCAAGTTAAATAAAAATTGAAAATTGAATTTACCCGTTTCATCATTGACCATACTTTCACATTTAATAATTAAGAAATGTAGTTCTATTTAATCTCAAGCAATATTTCTTTAAAATTCACAGATCGAAGTATGTTCCTAGCTTCGATACATTTGTAGCTAAAGAAATTCCCATGTAGGTTTCAGAATTATTTATGACAATAATAGCTTGGCAATTGAATGTTGCGACATAAAGTCACCCCTTGTAATCGGAGTCTTTAAATTATTAACCAACTCGTATGAAAAGGGAGAAAAAAAATATTCTCCTGCACTATAATGTCCAGAGCATAGTTTAGAAAATTTTCTAAACAATAATTACTGCTTTTACTCGAATAAAATTTATCCACATAGTATGATAAGTAAAACGTTTCATTTCAAAAGTAGTCATCTTAAAAATTAAAAACTAAATATTAATTGCTTTCTGTATTCGAAAGTTTTTACTTCTCAAAAATATCTGCTTAGAAAAAATGATATTTCCGAATGAGGTCCAACTTTACACGGGTCAAATATCAATAATAATTTTATCTGCTTTTGGTTTATGGAAACCATTACAATTAAATGAAAAATTAAGTAATCAAACATGTGCTCAACTCGAGTTATGTTTCATCGAATTTATTTAATTCCCGATTTACTGAAAAGCTGTAAATTTGATTCTGTAATTTGGATGGAGGAAACGTTTCTTATTACAGATTGTATAAAACATCATGTGCATATATATTTGTAAGTATTTTACATTTTTTAAGGGTTAAATATTGGTAATCATTTATTGCTTCGTCATTTATTAATCTTTCTTACTTTTTTCAGATTGGGACAGCAAGTGAACAATGTTTTTAGTTTTGTTGTGTTTACCCAATTTTTTTCATCCATGATAAGTCTTTGTACTGTTGTTTATGAACTAACATGCTTGAGCATATCCAATTCGACATATTGGCTTATGATGTCTTCTATGGGTAGTGTTTTAATGCAGACTTTTTTGTACTGTTATTGTGGACAGAAAATTATTGAAAAGGTGATGAGTGAAAAGTTTTTCAAAAGATCTTGATTTATGATGAATAACTGCTTCTTTTGATTTAAATTTTAGAGTACGGAAGTTATGTTCGCTATTCAAAATATGCAATGGACTGTGCTAACAAAACGTGGAAGAAAGGATCTTCTAATTATGATGATACGAGCATCACGACCAATAGAGTTGCATGGTTTGTCTATCGTTATAATGTCGTTCAAAACATTTGTCAATGTTAGTATTCACTGTTTTTTATATCATACCTGCTAAGACATAAATTTTAATTTTATCTTTCAGATCACCAAATCTACTTATTCTGCGTTCAATCTACTGAACAGTGCCTTTTAACCGTTACTCTATATCCTAAGTGTAGTTTAAAGAGTCTACCCACTTTAGACGTGCAAAAAAAGGCTAATGTAATTTTTTTTGTCATGTGAGGTTTTACACAGAAACAAATACACTCTCGAAGTGCAAGAAAATAACTGTTTTAATTTTTTCTTTAAATACAGGGACAAAGTTAACCAGAAAGACTTGACGAGAACAATCTTCAAAATCCTTTCAAATGTTTGCCAACAAGTTATACGCCGAGTAAGCTGATCTCAAAATCTGAAAAGTACAACATTTTTCTAAGTATCTTAAGATCTCTGATAAAATGTGGGAAAAAAGTTTTATAATTAATCTTCAAACTAACTTTAATAAAAGTTTTTATAGACATGACCATAATTGATGCACCAGCTAATTGTATAGGTTTCGCGGCTTTCAACATCATGACAATAAGATCTCGTTTCGTTGTATTTTTCAGATTGATCCAATTGATTTCATAAATAGAATCCGCAACTTCCATGCTCTGAAGAAAATTTAAAAAAAACCTACAACGTATTTCTTCGTAGACATTGCAAATTAGAAATACAAACCTTTTCGATAATCTTCTCTCCATAGTAACAGTATAAAAAAGTTTGCGTTAAAATTGTACCAACAGATGATATCATTATCCAATATGTTGGATCTTTTGTACCTAATCTTGAGAGTTGGTATATAATAACACAGAGACTTGCGACTGAGGCAAAAAAGTGTACGAATATCACCCCACTAAATAGGTTATTTAAATTTTTCCCCATTCTACAAAAATAAAATATTCTTAATGAAAATAATCCTTAGTGAAAATCCTTTAAAAAAAACCTTTGAAATGGAGAAGTATTTCTTACAAATATATATGCTTGTGATGTTTCACGCAATCTTTTATGAGTTTTGACTCCCCCTGACGAATGTACAATTCGGAGTTGAATTTTTTACATATTTTTGGAAGAAATTGTATTCGATGTACGCAAAGTTCTAATTGTGCGGAAATTTGTAACATTAGAGTCAAGGCGAGACCTTCAACGGATGCTGTTATGCAGACAGACATTAGAACAGCTACAATTTGATAAATATAAGTAATACAAAACATTACTTTAGTATCCAAGCTGTAAGGATACCATCCACGTAAGGGAAGTATGGTTTTATTTTGCTTTATTAATGGAGACATTAAAATTGTTGCTCCAGTCACATTGGCGAGCAACAGGAACATCAAGACTTTCCATCTGTAAAAATTGATTATTTTATTTGTTGCCATGGTCTTTAGAACAATTGACCCACACCATATCGACGAACGTCTTAAAAATCTAAAAACAATTTCTGATCTTAAAAGGTTTTAAGATCAGGAATCGTTTTTAAATCAAATCCTGGAATAACCGAATAATTTTCTGAAGCTTAACTAAAATGTTTACCTGCAATCTTGAGAGCATTTCTCCAGCACATCTTGTTCGTAAAAATCACGAGGTTTACAGATGTTCGCCAAAAGTTTTCGTTTTGCTTCCATTATAGTTTCACGTTTCGCAATAATGCTCATCTGTTTAATTAGAATAGCAACACTGTACAGAAAGTAAAACAAATATTCAGTAAAGATGTTAATGTCCCCAAAAATTTGAAACAGGAACATCAGAAAAGATATTGAGAAAGAAAAATAAAAGATCATCATGATGAAGGAATAGAACCGATATAACCAAATCTTCCATTTGGGGTACCAATGGAGTGGTTGCCACATTCCTAGTATAATAAACAGAGTAAATGAAATTTGGCCCGTGTACATCGAATCTCCATTTGGGATGAATACTTCTTGCTTTTTATTCAGTTTCTGTAATAGTTTAAATTAAATTTAAATTAAATTAAAATTCTATTGTAAAGTAGATACCAAAAAAGGAATGATTGTTCCAATTTGGAAAAGTATTTTTTTACCTGCATTTAATCTTCCGTTGATGTTTCTATTAATTTTTAGAGAATTCCACACGTCTTGGTTGATTGTAAATCATATTAATCAACGAATTCGACATTAACACAGTGGACAAACATATTTAAAAAAAAAAAAAAAAAATCTTTGCTCTTTATTACAATAAAAACTGCTTCTTTTCCTTAGCACAACCAGGAGAACAAACGACGAACAGCACTATTTTGTTACCTGCATTTAATTATTAGTTAATACTTATTCCGATAAAAAAAGAAATTTTTTTGAAAAATTAAAACATTGTTTCCCAATGAAAGTTTGTCGCAGACTATTAGATATTTTCTTTAACAAATTTTTCCATCGCCCTTCTTTCTAACTTGTTCATAAATAATTTGAGAAAGTGGAAAATACGTGAAGGCAGAAAAAATGTTTTCAATTTCACCCTTCGAGTAATAAATAATTAAAATCTCCCTACGTTGAAAGTTACGAAAGGATTGTGCACCTATAAGCAAGTTTCGATCTGTGCATAGAAAAACAATTTTTAAAAATGTCGCAGAAATTCTTTACCTCTATTTCTTTAATTTACTATGTATGCTGTCTTCAGAGTTATGTCACATTAGCAAAATTTTTTGCAATATCTAGTTGGGAAAAAAATTATAATTTTTGGACTTTGCTGTAAAGATAAATTATTCCAGTTCATTCTCTTTCTAAAAATAAAATAATTACCTAATGTCTGTGAAAGTGTAAATGAAAAACTATCAAAGTGGAAATAAAACTGTCATTAAAATAAAAAAAAAAAAAAAAAAAAAAAAAAAAAAAAAATTAAATTAAAAATTCATAGATCTACGGAAAAGAAATTATAATTCTTTGTATCGTTTTCATTAAATAGTTTATTGCTATACGATTTACAGTTAAAATTAATAATATAACAGCCACAATGCCTATCGTCGATTTATCAAACAAAATATCATTTATTGGTATGAGATTCGACACCAAATTCAAAAAATTGCAAAACAGTTTCAATTCAATTATTATATGGAAATTCATTTGATAACATTTTTAATTTAATATAAAAAGTATTTTCAACAATTTTAATAAAAACACAGTCTACTTTCAGTAATTTAAAGAATTCAATAATTAATATAATTTGTATCTAAATTAATTTGGAAAAAAAAGTTCATAAAAAAATGTGTAAAAATTATTTAACATTCGTTTTTTGAATAAGATATGTAAAATTAAAATTATTTCACACATGACTATTGGAGCTTTGACTATTTATAACATTATTTTGATTTATACAAATTTTTTACAAAACTTATCGTTAAAAGTGAGCCTATTCTTAGAAACAGTGGTTTTTTTTTAAATATTGTCTTGTTCTGAGTTTTATTTTACATTCCAGTTATCAATGAATAAGAAACTTTTCGAAGAAATTAAAAACTGTTGTTTTTATTTTATTTGGTAAATGCGTTCCTCATTGGCAGTCAAGTTTGAACACAAAAATAAAGAGATCTGTATACGCAATATGCGAATTATCCTATTTCCATTTTAATATCTCAAATTCTGAATGAAATTTCTGAATGTTTATAAGAGCTAGAGAATTAGAGATTTTCAAGGAATTCAGAATTTTAGAAATTAAATATTTCTATTATTTGGAAGAGGATTTTTGAATACATTTTTTTATTGTATTCAAATAAAACACGTTAATTATACATATGGAGCAATTAACAAAAGAAGAAATTTCTTCCTTTTTATAAGCGTAAATTCGGTTCTTGCATTATTAGAGATAAAAATACTGTTTCTTCTTTTAGTACGAATAACTTTTTAAAATGCAGTCACATTTTTTTTTTCAAATTTTCCTCTTTTTTTGTTTCTAGATTTCAAATTCTTTTTTTTTAAGTCTAACTTCTCATGTATGGATAATCGTAGTCTCGTAAAGGTACAAAAGTTTCTTTTATTGATTGAGGACTCGCCCATCGTAGGACATAATGTGGTCCACCGGCTTTATCGTTTGTACCCGACATTCTGCTACCACCGAATGGTTGTTGACCAACCACCGAACCAGTTGATTTGTCATTAACGTAAAAATTGCCCGCAGTGTATTTTAACTCGTCCAGCGCCTCTCTTGCCCAATTTCTGAAATTTTTGAAAGAAAATATTAAAATACTCATCATTTATTTCTAAATTTGGTAAATTTTCCATTTGGTAAAAATAATTCTTACTCGTCTTGTGAGAAAATAGCTCCGGTCAGAGCATAAGGAGTGGAAGACTCTACCAACTTCAGTGTCTCGTCAAGATTTTTGTCCTTATAGACATAAATCGAGATAACTGGTCCAAAAATTTCTTCAGTCATTATCTTATCTTTGGGATCCTTTGACACCACTATCGTTGGTTCAATGAAATATCCACATCTGGGGGAAAATAAAATTTTTAATTTCAAAAATAGAGAAGAGCAGGAGAAAGAAAAATTACTTACGAATCATCGAAACCACCACCGGCGATGATTTCTAACTGTGACGATTGCTTGGCGTGTTTAATATAGCCGGTGATTCTGTCATATGCTCGTTTGTCAATAACAGCACCGATGAAATTTGAAAAGTCACGAACATCGCCTACTTTTAATTTACTCTGGACATTGACGAGGCCTTCTTTAATCTGACAAAATCGGAAAGGGGTATTAATACTTTTTTATTGGAATTAATTTTTATGCTGCAATATAAACATAGTCAAGCTTGGACCATCAGGATCGGAATTATAATTCGATCCTTCGATTAATCACAGGGTAATATATTATATTAACGAATAATTTTTGATTTTTTCAGTTTAGATGATCCAGTCCAGAAATACTTCAACTACAGCCTATCGACAGAATAGAGCAGAAATAGTTGTCTTGGTGAGTGAGTCTAAACCAATGTTACCAAGATAAGTAGTTGTTTTGGTGAGTAAGTCTAAACCAATGTTAGCCGGAGCTCCCTCAAATTCTTCATAGAAGTTTAAAAAAAATTATTCTGACAATAATCCCATTTAAAACTACAACCTTTCGACAGAGTGTAGAGCAGAAATAGTTGTCTTGATGAGTAAGTCTAAACCAATATTACTAAGACAAGTAGTTAATTAAAAAATTATGCATTTGTACTAAGGAACATCTTACCTTACTCCAGAGAGATTCAGGAACGTACATTCGACTGCAAGCGGAACACTTCTGTCCATTATACTCGAAAGCACTGCGAATTGTCCCCTTAACAACAGACTCAACGTCTGCAGTTGGATGGACAAAGTGATAATTCTTCCCACCGCATTCGCCAATAAGTTTTGGATAATTTTTATAAATGTCGATATTCTTGCCCACTTGTGACCAGAGTCGATTGAATGTCGGCACCGATCCAGTGAAATTAATTCCCGAAAGGAATGGCGACGACGTAATGGTATCACCAAAATCAGGACCCAAAGCTGGTACAAAATTTACAACACCCGGTGGTACACCCGCTTCCCTGCAAATTTTAAAGATGATCCAATTCGAAAGCATTGCCGTGTCTGATGGTTTCCATAAAACAGCATTGCCCTGGAGAAATTGAAACATCAGATAAATAAAAATATTCTGCTAAAACCCAGGTGGAAAAGGTAATGTTAGTTATCATTTTTTTGGTCACTAACGTTAACCTAACGTTAGCCTAACATTAACCAAACGTTAGCCTAACGGTAGCCTAACATTAACCAAACGTTAGTCTAACGTTAGCCTAACATTAACCAAATGTTAGTCTAACGTTAGCCTAACATTAACCAAATGTTAGTCTAACGTTAGCCTAACATTAACCAAACGTTAGCCTAACGTTAGCCTAACATTAACCAAATGTTAGTCTAACGTTAGCCTAACGTTAATTAACGTTAACGAACGTTAACTTATCCACCTGGGAAAAATTCCCAATAGAGTGGAAAATTAGAATGAAAATAATGCGAACCATGAGAGCTGGTGTATAACTAAGATTACCACCGATGGCAGTAAAATTAAATGGAGAAACAGCGGCGACGAAACCATCCATTCCACGATACCTCATTGAATTGAGTGTCTCCTTTGAATTCTCAGATATTGGTTTGTATTTGAGCGCCTCCTGAAGGAACCAACTGTGAATTTTAAAGAAATCAATCAGTTCGGCTGCACTGTCAATTTCAGCTTGAATAACCGTTTTACTCTGGCCCAACATTGTGGCCGCATTCAATTGCTGTCGATATTTGCCGGCCATCAAATCTGCCGCTCTAAGCCAAATGTCAATTCGATTTGTTATCGGTACTCGATCCCATTCTCTTTGAAATTTCACCGCCACGTCAATTGCCTTCTTTATTTGCTCACGTGATGCCAGATAGTATTTTGCTATCTTGTGCTTATGATTGTGAGGCTGAAACGATTAAAGAATTTTTTTTTAAATGTAAATTTTAATCAATGAAAAATTGTGAAAAGTACTGGTGGATGGGAAAATACTTTGTATTTGGACAGAATTCATGCTTTAAATGTTATTGGGATAGCTGAATACGAATCTGAACTCCAAATTTCAAAATTAAAAATGGCGGCCAGGTACAAACCTGGACGCCATTTTGAATCCGCCATTTTGAATTTTGAAACTCGGAGTTCGGAATTATTTGAAAAATGGTTTTTAGACATTTTCTTAAAAGTTGATGGATTTAAATGAAACTTGATACCTAGGGGTTTTTTAGGATCGCTAATTACGAATTCCAAGTCAGATTATTAAAATTCAAAATGGCGAATCCAATATGGTAGAAAAAATTTTGAAAAAATAGTTGGATTTTTATGAACATTGATATCTAGGGGTTTCTAGAGTCGCTAATTACGAATCTAATGTCAGGTTTTCAAAATTCAAAATGGCGGATCCAATATGGAGGACGAATTTATAAAAACTCGTCAAATTCTGCTAAAACTCGTCACTCAGGGGTTTTTGGGGTAGCTGATTATGAATTTGAGGTCAGATTTTAAAAATTCAAAATGGCGGATCTAATATGGCGGACAAATTTTAAGAAACTCGTTCGATTTCGATGAGACTTGGTAACTGGGGGTTTCTGGGGTCGCTGATTACGAATCTGATGTCAGTTTTTTAAAATTCAAAATGGCGGATCCAATATGGCGTAAAATTTTTAAGAAAAAAAACAAAATTAACAATTTTGAGTTCGTTTAACGCGTGAAATCATCCTGATTGTAATTGAAATAAATTTTTCAATTACCATCACTTGATAGGCGCAATTATCGGATTTGAATTCCTTGCCACCGATGACAAGGGGAATTTCCTCGCACTCCTTGCTCATTTGATCGAGAGTTTTTTCCAATTCGACTCGTTCTTTGCTGCCCTTCTCGTAGGACAAAATTGGCTCGTTCTTCAGAGGGAAATCCCTCGTATTTGTCAATGGAACCACAGATCCTATCCATCGTGTTCCTCTGTAAATAAATAAATAATAAATAAATAAATAAAAAATAAATAAATAAATAGATAAATAAATAATAAATAAACAAATGGACAATATTAAACTTTTTGTATAAATATATTTACGATAAGATATTTATAAAATGCCACTGATAGTGTAAAGTGTGTGTATAAAGAAATTTACGAGGTTTGTAGAAGATTAACTTTATCAGAAAGAGTAAACTTGACTTTTAAGAATGAACTTGAGATATATGATGTTTAAACACTTTTTTTGAGTTATTTAATTTCTTTATGGAGAGAAAGATAAATGTTTTGCGGCAAATTTGTCATATATTAAATAAACAAATTTAAAGATACAATATGTATAAAAGAAGCGGATAGTGCTTTAAAATTTGTCACTACTTTAAAGGAGAGTATTAAGAAGAGAATATTTATAAATTTTCCATTGTCTGTCTATATTCTAAAGATATTTTTGTCTGTCTGAATTTTTTTCTGTCTAATCTAAGCAAATTTTTCTTCGTGAATTTTTCGCTCTTTTGAAATTTTATTTTTAACTACAAAAATAAATGAAAAAAAAAGAAATTGTTGATTTTAGGATACTCTAAAAAATAATTTCAAAAAATTTACGAAGAGAAACAGCAATATTAAAAATTCATCTTATTAGCCTGAAATTTTTAATTTTTTCCTCTTTTTGTAATTTTATCAAGTATTTTATTTTATACGCAAAATTTTTTTTTTCGTTTTCCTTAAAATGAATAGTAAACTTGTTTTTAAAATTATATATTTTATCAAAAATTCTACTTTTTTTTGTTTATTTTTATACTTTTAATAAATAAATAAATATTTTTTGCTTAAATTTTTAAAAATTTTAAATTGTCAAAAAATAATTTTGTGGAAAATTTTAAAAGTACGTAAAATAATTTTAAATTCTAAATATAGTGCAAAGAAAAAAATAGCGCTTGGCAACGAAACGTAAAGTGTCACTGCTAACTCTTCTTAGAATAATAATAAATAACTATTTGTTTAAAAAAAAAGAAAATTTTTAATTTTGAAATTTTGAAAATAAATGTAATATTTTTTTTATAGTTAAAAAAAAATTTTTTCTAAGTTTATAGATAAAAAATTATTTATAATTGTATTAATAAAAAATAATAAATGCAGTAATAAATATTTATTGATAATATAATGTTAACAAGTAAAAAAATTTGATTACAGAAATTATTTAAATAAATTTTTTTTCTTTTCATAAAGACATCGAAAATTTAGGAAAATTTTTGTTAAAATACTTTTTAGTATTTAAGACGAAAGTGGGAGGATTTAAAAGAAAATTTCTCTTTCTATTTTTAAAAATTAGAGATTAGAGATAAAAAATTACAAAATTAATTTTAGCATTTAAACGAAGAATGAGAAAAGAGAGTTATTTGCGACATTGTGTTTTTTTACGTAACTCTGTTATCTTTACACTGACCTACACCAATTTTATTATCACTAGGTGATGAATGAAAAATTAAAGCTATTAACAAGTTCAATATCGTTTAACGATTAATTATTTTTAAAAAAATTTTCTATTTTCTTTCTAACTTTTAACTTTTAAAATCAAATAATTTTAAAACATTTTATTCAAATTTTAACTTTTTATATCTTTTTATAACTTTTAACATTTAATATAAAAAAAAAACTTTAAAACATTTTGTTCGTATTTTAACTTTTTAAATTTTTTTAAATTTTTAAAATAAAATCAAAACCTTTAAAACATTTTGTTAAAATTTTAAGATTTAAAAATTCTTTTTAAAACTTGAAAAAATTTAAAACATTTTTTTAAAATTTCTACTTTTTTAAATTCTTTTTTAAAATTTAAAAATTATTAAACATTCTGTTAACATTTAATTTTTTACTTTTAAAATCTTCTTTAAACTCGAAGAAAAATTTGATTTTCATATTTATATAGGTAGAAAAACAAAGACTTTTCAATAAAATCGATTTCTTTTCTCTATTTAAAAAATGCAGAAAGGTCATCAGAAGAATAAGAAAAACAATAAAATCTCTAATTTCGACCTTCACCTAATTTTTTTTTCATACACACGAAACATAACCTCATTGCAAAAAATGAAGACATACATATATAAACTAAAAATAGAAATCATTCCCTTTTACCATTGAGCCATGTCTAATTTTTGAGAACAGCTGATCGAATGGAAAATTCCCAAAAGAATCAACTGTTTCTCTTATCCCCCTCCCCTCTCTTCCTAACTCTACTATAACAGTTTTTGACAGTTCTACTTTCTACATTTTTTTTTCATAAATTTTAATATTTTCCCATATCAGAAAAAATTTAAAATTTTAAGTTGAAAATATATTTTCAAATTTCATTTAGTGAGTAGAAAAATTTTTTATACTGAATTTTCAACAATGAAAATGAAAATTTACCAAAAATCATGTTTTAAATTTTAAGGCCATTCAAAAATTTATAAGTGTATAAAATTTAAAAATTTTTTAAATTTAAAAATTCATTTACAAAAAAAAAAAATTTGATAGTATTATTTATGGTGAATTTTGTTAAGAAAATATAAAATTTGACAGAATTTTGTTAAACCGGTTTTTAATATTTGGAAATGAATTTTTTCGGAGTCACTTACATTATTGGTGTGTTGGCAAGTAAGGATTGTCGACAGAAATTCAACATAATGTTTTGTGTCAATAATTTATGTTAATTTTTCACACTTAAGAAGGGAAAAGAAAATTTATTGACGAATAGAAAACACTTTGTCTTGCAACACAAATTTTGTAAATAAGATAACGGGAGATAAAACTTAGACAATGGATTATAGTGAATCCTGAAAAAGCGACCTTGAAGTATTATATATTTTACATTCTGGTATTTTTTCTAAATTTCACCAGATGGCAGTCTGTTACTGTCTCCCACTCTATGTCAGCTGTGTATACGCATAGAACCCAAGTGGCAGTGTTACAGAAGATATAGAAGAAACCTTATTATTATTGATGTTATGAGGATCTATGCTTTTCAGGTTCAAAATGAAAATATTTTTGAAATAGAAACTAAAAATTTTCATTTTGTTTTATAATTTTTCATTTTTGTTCATTTTTTTCCACTTTTGCATGGCCTTAAATTTTTTTAAAGATTTTTTGAAAATTTAAAAATTTATAATAATTTTTTTTTATTTAATTTTTTTTTTTAAATTTTCATTTAATTTTGTTAAACATTTAGTTTTTTAAACATTTTATAGTCATATTTGAACATTGTTAACAATTATTAATCTTTAAACTTTCATGATGAAATTAAAAAAAAAAAATTTTATTTAAAAAAATTTCAAAATTCTTTAACATTTCATTCTAAATTAAAAACTTTTTAAAAATTTTGACTATTTTTTCTCATCATATTTTTATATTGTTATATTTTTTTAAAAAGTTTCGAATAATTTAAAAAACTTTTAAATGTTTTTAAAATTTTTTAACTTTTTACTCTGGTTTCTTTTCTTTTTTTTAATTTTTAAACTTTGATATTCTTTCTAGAAAAATAAAAACATTAATTTTCTAAGCCGAACAAATTTTTTTGTATAGCAAAATTAATTAACGCAATAGCAAATAATAAAAAGAATCTAGTATATATATATAAAAAAAACTACAAAAGAAATTTTGAAACAATTGATTTTTAAACTTACCTTTAATTTCACCTGTAAAATAATTAAAATAAAATTTAACAAGTATTTTTTTTAAATTGTTTACTATTTATAAAAACAAAAATTGTAAAATTTATATAAAAAATTGTTTTACTTTAATTTTTGGTTTTACATATAAAAGCAGAGAGATTAGAATGTTTAATTTTAATATTAAAATCAAATTTTTTACGTTTATAGAATAAAAAATTTTAAATTAGAATTTTACAAAATGAAAATTTTGTTCATTTTTTCTGTTTTTTCCATAAAATCAGAAATATTCGAATTTTCTTATAATAAATGTTGATGACTAAGTAACTTGTTATTTACACCTATAATAATTCATCACCAGAATATGCAATACGACAGCAATATTGTAAGACAAAGTAAAAATTTTTTACACTTACGTAAGCGAAAAGATAGAAATCTCGTATCTTATGAATTGAAAACACGTGCAATATTCTTTTCGCTCAATATATGTGAAAAAAAGGAACGTAAATTAATATTAGAACCTAAAATACAAATTTTTTTTTTTTTTTTTTTTAATGAAAAATAAACATTTTCAAAATTTGTTGAAAAAAGAAATAAAATATATTGCAAAATATAAAGTATAATAAATAAAGTCAATGTTTTATTCTTTCTATAACGAAATTTATTTTTGAAACTAAAGAGAGATAAAGAGAGAGCTACCAGAGGTAATATCGTTCTCCGAAAATGCCACAATGGCAAAATTCTGTAATAAATACAACATTAGATTCGATTATTACAAGATCTCAATATAAAGATCTTATTATAATAATATATAATATATATCTACGCGTTTTACCGCCAAGTGAATAAAAATATGAAACAATAAATTAGAATATAAAATTTTTAATAACGGCTATGAAACATCTAACACACGATTTCTAAACAAATTCTATATATCTGCTTATTATGATATTTAAGCAGTTTTTTTTTTTTTTTTTTAAATAGGAAAGCGGAAGCTAAACAAACTCGAGAGCGGAAAATGTTCATATATTTTAATCTTTACAATGAAAAAAATAATTTCTCCCTAAAATATATATTCCGACAACAGTCTTTTCAAGACGGAAAAGGAAATTTGAAAATTTAATATTTATATGATGATGATATCTTGAAAATAACTCTTTTTGTTTATGGTTATTCAAGTTTGATAGCTTCACCTAATGTTGACTTGGTTTTTTAATTTTTCTTTTTTTTTTAGGAATTTCATCATTCGCTCGTGATCATTCGCAACTAAACATTTCTTTTTTTTTCTTCTTTTTTTTAGGACTTTTGTCGAAATTTTTTCAATTGTCACTGTCTGCGTAATCGTCGCTATCACAGCTATCGCAATAAGCGGCCTTTGGTTGATGACTTTTCAAACCACTCGATTCACTCGAGCCCCTTGGACCACCAGAATTTCCATCGTCTTGTGAATTTGATTCTAAATTCAAATCTTGACTCGATGCATAATCGTCGTCCGTCACTGCCTCCTGGTGCCTGTAAAAAAAATTTATTTTTTAGAAAATTTATCTTAAAAGTTTCAGAATTTGTTATTAGTAAATAAAAAAAAAAATAAATAAAAAAAAAAAAAAAATTATGTAAAATATGTAAAAAGAAGGAAAAAGGTAAAAAAAGATAAAGAAAAGGTAAAAAAGAATATGAAAAAGAAAACTAAAAAAAGATTATTTCCTAACAAAGAAAAATTAAATTTTTTTAAAATAACACAATTTTTATAAAATTTCTATATTAAATATTAAGAAAATACGAATTTGTGTAAATGAAAAAAAAAAATTTGCGATAAAAAGTATTTATGTGTATTCTTCAACATTTCTTGGATCAATTTCAACAACTGTCAGTATCTGGGAAAAAATTGTCAAATTTATAGCAACAAGATACATATATTGATCGCGTGAGAAATTACCTTTAAAATAAACCTAAGAACGTTAACAAAATGTTTATTATTTTAGAAATAATTTTAATTTTTAGAAAATAAAATTGCAAATTTCAGAATTTTTGTTATATTTATAAAAATTAACTCATTTTGTTCGTGAAATAATTTTTTTTTGCATAATTTTAATGACTTTCAATGTATTAAAGAGAAAAAAAAAACGATATAAAAATTTATGTAACATATAATTTATGATAATGTTCACTGGGGAAAAAATTCATGTTTTTTTAAATTTAATAAAAATTGACAAAGATTTTATTTTTAAATATTGTTTTTATATTTTTTTTAAAAATTATTCTTTTATTTTTTTAATCAATCAATAATTTCTTTAAACGCTTCTATAATTTATAAGTAACTAAATAAAAAATAAATTATGTTCGTTTATTTTATATATTATTTATTTAGAAAATGTAATAATAATAATAATAATAGTTAAATAGCTTTTAAAATTTTTTGAAAATTGTAACTTCTCTTGTATTGCAATAAAAAATAAATCCGAAAATCTTCGTTCAAAATTGTTTATTTAACAAAATGAAGAATAAAAATTACTTAATTTAAAAGATAATTGGAACTTTTTACAGTAAGTTATACTTAAAATATTTTTATAAAACTTTATTAATGATGAATTTAACGAATTGAACCAATCAGTGAATTTTACAATTTATATTTACAATTATTTTGAAACTAAAATATTTTTCTAAGAAAAGAAAAAATTTTTTTTCTTACGCAATCATTTCAGTATAACAAGTTTCATTAGAAAAGACCTTCTAGAGAATTATTACTTGATAATTCAATGAAAAAAAAAATGAAATTATGAATAATTTTCCATTTGGTCCCGGATGTAATTTTTTTCAATTATTTAATTATTTATCTGTCAAAACTTGAAAAATATAAAAATAAATAAAAAAATAAATTAAAAAAAAATAGAAATATTTTAAATTATTTTTGTTTGACAAAACATGAAAAATATAAATATTTAATTAAATTAGCTCATTTTATTTCCCTTTTTAAATTTTTATTTTCAATTCTAATAAAAGCATTTGTTTTAATGAATTAAATGAATTATGAATTTAATGAATTTAATGAATTTAATGAATTAAACTTTTTGTTATTTATAGTTTTAAAGTTAATAAATTATTAATATTATTTATTTTAAATTTAATAATTATAATTTTAATTCTACTGTTATAAAAATACACAAAATCTTACATTTGTTCTGTTTGATCATTTCCATTTTCCTCTGCCACCAAAAGTTCATATTCTTCAGCAGCAAAACGATCCCAATCCGATAGCTGAAAGAAATTTTTTTTTTATTATTTGTTAGTTATTTTTATTCTTTTTTCTTTTTTAATATTTTTTTGATTTTCTTTTTTCCATTTTTTTTTTGAAAATACATTGAGTTTTTATTTAAATAAAATACTTAACAATAAAATACTTTAAAATTATTTTTATATTTTGTTATATATTTTGCTTTTATTTTTTCATTTACTTTTTTTTCTTTTTTTCATTTTCTTTTTTTTTTCTTTTGTTTAATTTTCTTTTCTATTAGTTTCTTTTTTTTCATTTTCATTTTAAAACTACATTGAATTTGAATTTAAAATAAAAAATTACCTCGTGGCCATCGGCGTCATGTTCCCTTGCTGATGCGAAGGGATCCCTTTGCTCGTGATCCAAATATTTTTCAAGATTGAAGAATGTATCAAAGAAAATTGTTGTCATTTTGCATGTTTTTAAATCAGCTAAGGAAATTTTGTCGGGAATTTTCGGATGAATCATGTCCAACATTTGACAAAGACAATCTTCAAAAGGTAATGTCTCAATGCCAATTGCCTCCATTCTTAGTAACTGTTCCTCGTAGAAATATTCCAGTTCGTACATTGATAGATAACCATCTCCATCAAGATCCATGCATCTAAGGGGGAAAAAACAGGTCATAAAAAAAGGAAAATCACCGAATTTTCTCGTCTGGAAATATTTAAGGCATGAAAAAATTTCTGAATTCAGAGAAAATTTTTTTTTTTATTTGAACCAAAAAATACAACTAAAGGTAAATATTTTTATTGGACGGGATTTTTAAATCTGAAAAAGTGTTAAAACATTTTGTTTTAACAATTATATGTAAATTTAATATTAAATGTTTTACAATTAAAAAAAAAAAAAAATTAATAATTATATTTAAATTTAATATATAAATACTTTAAAATATAGAATAAACATTAAAATACTTGAGGAGATAAAAAACATTGCAATTGAAATAAAATTTAAAATAAAAAAAATATGTTTATTTATTTTCTTCATTAATAAAAAAATAATTTGTTAATTCGAACAATTTCTTATGGAATAATGAAGCATAGATTTTTTTTAAAAAAAGTAGTTAATCACCTGAACCAATATTCAATGGCTGTTGCATGATTTTTGTCTTCCTCGCTCAAAAGGAACCAGACAAATTCCGTGTAACTCATTTTTCCTTCTCCTTGTCGTATTTCGGTGGAATTTTTTCCATTTCCTCTAGTCACTGCTCCACTGAATATTCTTTCAATCATCCGCGTTGACAGCGCTAATTAAAACAAATACAATTTTATCAAAAAATTTTATAAAAAAATTTTTTAATTTTAAATTTGTTCTGAAAAAATTTTTTTTTAAATAAAGTTAATTTTCTAGGATTTGTCTGAAACTTTGGTAAATTGTTCTCCTGGATAAAAGTAACAAAATCCTAAATTTTCAACTTTTTTGAAAATAAATTTCGTGAATTATCAAACTCTGCAGTTATGACGTTTTAAATGAAATTTTAAAGCTCAGAAAATTTTTTTTTTAATAAAGTTAATTTTGTAGGATTTGTATGAAACTTTGGTAAATGGTTCTGGGGTATAAAAGTAACAAAATCCTGAAATTTCAACTTTTTAGAAAATAAATTGCGTGAACTATCAATTCTGCAATTATGACGTTTTAAACGACATTTTTTTTAAATAATAAAGTTAATTTTGCTGCGATTTGTCTGAAACATTGGTGAATTGTTCTTCTATATAAAAGTAATAAAATCCGAAAATTTCAACTATTTAATTAATAAATTTAAATAAAAATTTAATTAATTTTAATTTTAATAAATTTAAAAAAAATTTAATTAATAAATTTAAATAAAAATTTAATTACTTTTAGGGTGAAAAAAATTTCTCTACAGTAGTAATTTAATTACCGTGATCATTGTGCCTCATAAGATCCATTTTATCAATGAAAAGATCGTGATCACGATCCAATTCCCAGAATTTGCAGTAAATGACGTAAAAATGCTCGTAACTGAAATAAGCTGTGACCAAATTAATGTCCTCGCCATGTTCAAGAACACTAATCACTGAGAGTAAATTACTCCTTCGTAATTCGGCGACAGATATTTTCCCGCTCCAACTACGATTCACGCAATAAAATATCCTTGCAATTACAGTGTGAACGTAACGTGAATGAAATTCAATTGCCTCCTTCAGGAACGTTAAACCCGGATGAGTCTCAACAACATCCTGCACCAATGGAATCAAGTCTTCTGGTAGAATACTGTCTCTTAATCCTTTTGTCGTTATTCTCACAAATCTACTTGCCGTGTCGTGATGCTTATTCGTCAGTCTGCATTGAAAAATAATGAGCATTTTTTTGTTTAAATTTTTTTTTTATTATTTTCTACATAAGAAAATTTAAGTTTGTTTTTTTAGATTCTAACGAATTTTTAATTTTAGAATAAATAAATTGAATATATAAATAAATAAATAAATAAATAAATAAATAAATTGATTTACATTCTGAAGTGAACGAAAATTTTCTTTATTGATTCTAAAAAATTTTATTAAAATTCGCCGAAAGAATTCAATTATTTAAAAATATGTTTTGATAATATTCTTCATGAAAATGCAATTCTGTGAAACATTCAATTATTGAATAAATTATTTTTTTTTTATTTAAATAATTGAATTCTCGTACAATTTTTTTTAATAAAAATTTTTTAAAAATTTAAAAAAAAACTAATTTAAATGAATTATAGTTAAAATTTTAGATAATAATTGAAAATTAAAAGCATTATAACGTGAATTTTTTGAAATATTTGAATTTTGAAAGGGTTTCAAATTAAAATCTTTAAAAAACCGAATTTTTCATATTTTTAACTAACCTTTGTAGAATTAATTTCAATTTTTTTAAAAATTATTTGAAGTTTTTATTTTCTAATTTATATTTAATTCAAAGATTTCCGAATAATCGAAATTTCGTCGTAAAATTGAATTTTAAACAAATAGAATTGAAAATTCTCAAAGAAATTTGGAAATTTTACAAAAAGTTTTAAAAATTATTGATTTAAAAGAGAATTTTAGGTAAAAAGAAAAATAAAAATATTGAATTTTGTCGAAGTTAGAAATTATTGAAAAAATCCAATTATTTACAAATATTTTGTAAATTTCTTCGTATTAATTCAATTACTTTCATAAATAATAACTTTTTTTTTACAAAGATTCAATTATTTTCAAAAATTTCTATAAAAATTCTTCTCAAAAAATTCAATTGTTAAAAAAAATGTTTATAATTATTCTCATAAATAATAATACTCATCGTAAAATTTCAATTATTTTTTAAAATATTAATGAAATTCGCTTCAATAATTCAATTATTTTTATATATAAAAAATTTCTTTTGAGAAATTCAATTATTTTGAAAAATTGTAATAATTTTTTTTAATCATTTCTTAGTAGAAAATTTAACAAGAATTCAATTATTTAAATACAAAAATAAATAATTCATTGAATAATTGAATGTTTCACAAAATTGAATTCTCATGAAGAATTTTATCAAAACAAATTTTTGAATAATTGAATTCTTTTGACGAATTTTAATAAAATTTTAAAGAATAATTACATTTTTCGAGGAATTCGATAAAAATAATAGAAATTCTGCGATAAATTTTATTACAATTTTTAAAAATAATTGAATTTTTAACAAGAAATTTTTTACATATAAAAATAATTGAATTCATGGAATGAATTTTATTAAAATTTTTATAAATAATTAAAATTCAGCTATGAATTTTATTTTTTTATTGGAATAATTGAATTTTTGTAAAGAATTTAATTAATGTTTTTTAAACAATAATTGAAATCTTACGATGATAGTTTTAATATTTATGAGAATAATTCAATTATTGAGAATAATTTCATAAACATTTTTTTTAAATAATTGAATTTTTGAGAAGAATTTTTAAACTAATTTTTGAAAATAATTTAATCTTTGTAAAAAAAATTATTATTTATGAAACTAATTCAATTTTATTGCAAAAAAATTCATAAAATATTTGTAAATAATTGAATTCCTGTAAATTTTTTAAAATTAAATGTTTGGATAGAATTTGAAAAAAATTTGTTTTAAATAAAATTGAATTCTTTTGAAAAATATTTTTAAAATAGTAAATATTGAAAACCATTGAATTGGGGACAATTTTCGAAAATAATTATAATTTTGACAAGAATTTTATTAAAAATTTTTGAAAATAATTGAATTTTGGAGAAGAATTTTATTATTTATAAAGATAATTGAAATTTTTATAAGAATTTTTTTTGAAATGTTTGAATATAATTGAATTTCTGCGAAGAATTTTATGAAATTTATTGAAAATAATTGAATTTCAGAGAAGAATTTTATTATATTTAAAGATAATTTAAATTTTGATCAGAATTTAAAAAAATGTTTCAACATAATTGAATTTTTGCGAAGAATTTTATTACTTTTGAAAATAATTGAATTTCTGTAATCATTTATAACTTTCTCCAAAATTCAATGTTTTTTAGTGTTTTTAACTTAAATTCTTTCATTATTTTTAATAAGTAATTAAATATATATATATTAAAAATTTTTACTAATTTCATAAGAATTTGGATTATTGAAATTTTTCAAAAATCAAAGTTTTTTAAAATTTCTATTTAAATTCATTAAAAATTAAAATTTTATAAAATTTCAAACTAAAACCTTTTAAAGTTCATCTTCACGAAAAGTTCATTGTAAACGCAACTCTTTTAAAATTCTTTTAATTTTGAAAAATTTAAGTAAAATTATTCATTAAATATTTTATAATTAATAATTTTATGGTATAGTTTTTGAAGTATTAAGTTATTGAGAAAGAAATTATTGGCCAAAATAGAGAAAACAGGTATTTTTATTAGAATTCGTGATAATTTCATATTTTTTTATTCATAAATTGTTTATGAATAAAAAAAAAAAATTTAGAATTTTCTTATAAATTCTATAAAATTTAATTTTTTCCAAAAAGGTACGTTTTTAAAACAAAATTAAGTAGAAAAAAAATTCTTTCTATACCAAAAATACTCACTCTTTCCAAAATTCAAGGAAAGCATTCATTTCGACGAATCCTGTTTGATCGCCCCTAGCCGCAAGGAACAGAGGGACCTTCCAATAAAGCGGCAAATCACAAGCCTGTAAAAAATAATTAAACCAAAGTTGACAATAATTTTTCTTCTCTTTCGTCAAATTTTTTTTTCTTCCTTTTTCTTTTTTTATTTTAACAAAGCTTACCTTAGCAATGATGTGGAATTGAGAGCGTGATGCTCGTTGACCTGGAAGAACTTGAAAAGCGGCCGCAATGCGAGCCACTGTTGCCTCCACTTGCGAGAGAGCCACAGGTTTTCCCTCGGGAAAATAAAATCTAAAAAATTTTTTTTTTTTTTGAATACGTCATTATAGTACTATAATTATCAACCCTAATATTTTTCTTAATTAATAATAAATCATAATATAAGGGAGAAGAAAATATATATTTACCGCGGGATGTCCACATTTTTATTCGCCTTAACATGTCTCTGTAATGTTGTGTGCGGTGGAAGATTTTTCTTCTGCTTCTCTCGGACGTACGACTAAAATTAGAATTTTAAATCTAATTAGTGAAATTTCATTTAGCTCACAATCACAATCAGAGATTTCGCATATATGCAACTAACAAGTTTTTATGATTCAATTAAAATTAGATTTTGATTTTTGCATTTGAAATAATTTTCCCTTGGATTTAGAAAAAATTAAAAATCAAAAAACAAAAATTAAAAAACAAAATAACTGGAAATTTTTTTTTCAAAAATCTATAAAACTTAATTGAATAGATTTAATGCACATGTCGATTTTTTTTATATTCAATTAACATTTTTCATAAAATTGAAGCATTAGACTTTTTACAGTTTTCTAATTTTTATTATTTAAGTATTTCATTATTATTAAATTTTTCCCGTTTCAATCTCGATTACTAGTCTTTCTAAGAACAGAGTTAAAAACTAATTTTCGCTTAGAATTAATTAAAATCACTATTCACTTTTTCTCTAACGGTTTTATACTTCATGTTCTATAAAAAAATCGACATGCGAATTAAAAATTAAAAATATTAATTTATTTTACTAGCTTTTTCTAAGATACCAAGGAAATTTATAACGATTTTTATCTTTCTGTGTATAAATTATTTAAAATATTTAAATGAACGGAACTTTTACCAAAAAAAAATCTATTTTTCTTTAAATTAAAATTTTTAATTAAACCATCTAATTCTTTATTATTAATTTATTATAATTAAATTTCCTTGCGGTTAGTAGTTTGTAAAAGCATTTAATACATATTGATATCTTATTTTAGAATGGACGACCACTAACAAGAATATTATTGGTTACCTTTTGAGATGTAATACGAGTATAATAAGATAGATACACCACCTTGCGGTAAGCAATTAAAGAAATCAATAAGATATCCATGTATTTGTATATAATTTTATAGGTTCATTAAATTATTTAAAAAAAATTTTTAAAAACTGTTTGAATATTCGGAAATATTTATTTTAGTCCAAAGTATGTAATAGTAGCTGTAAAAATTCGATTCAATGGAAGAAAAGTAGCAAGAATTGAAAGAAAAGCCTCACATTTCGTCCACTGTTCTGTATTTTAAAAAATTAGCATTGAATTCGTATTCAGCGACCCAAAAAACCCCCAAGTAACAAGTTTCAAGCGAATTCGATGAATTTTTAAAAAACTCGTTCGCCATTTTGTTTTTTTTTAAATTAGCATCAAATTCGTAATCAGTGATCTAAAAAACCCCCGAGTAACGATTTTTCAACGAGTACGTTAAGTTTTTTCAAAAGTCGTCCGCCATATTGGATCCGCCATTTTGTATTTTGAAAAACTGACATAGGATTCGTAATCAGCGACCCTGAAAACCCCCGAGTAACAATTTTCAAGCAAATCGGATCAATTTTTAAAAAACTCGTTCGCCATATTGAATCCGCCATTTTGTTTTTTAAAAAACCGACTTTTTATTCGTAACCAGTGATTTAAGAAACACCCTAAATTTAATTTTCATTAAATTAGCGCAACTTTTTAATTTTTTCTGACGCCACATTGAATCCGCCATTTTGTATTTTAAAAAACCGAATTTATTCGGAATCAGCGATTTAAAAAACATCCTAAAAGTAATTTTCATGAAATGGGGATCCTCACAGCCAAACTTGACCAGTAGAGTGCAGCACTATTATAAGATTTTATGGCGCAAAATTTTAAATGTGATTTGTTGCATAATATTAATTAAACAATATAAATGGTTTTTGTTCATGTAAATGAAGAATAAAATCATTAGATCAGAAATATTGGTTATAATAAAGTACGGAAAACTATTTAAAGATGTTGGGAGATTCAAAATTAAAATGTGTTTACAATATTTTTAATAACAGGCAACATAACCTCAATTTTTTTATATATACTTTTACGATACTGTGACTTGCAAAACCGTCTTTTTTCCTGTGACACAAATTCCTCACCCAAGTAATTCAATTTTTAACTTTTCACAATTCCAAAAAAAGTATTTATTTACTTCGCCCATTTGTTTGTAAAACAAATATGACTTTTCGCGAAATCAAAAATTAAGCGCTAGACAAATCTTGCTATGGTGCTGCCATCTGATATTAGCTTTACATATAATGATCCCCATTAGCTCAAGCTTTTAATCGAAATTTAATTTTCTACAATTCATTATTTTTGAATTTTGCGCTCGATGAATTTAACGCCGCGTCGCGTATGGTAAGGAAGAGCGAGTATGTAGTTCGTTCGACATCCGTTCATACTTCAAAGCGTTGAGTGTGGCGCAGAGACGACATTCTCGCAGCTAACGTCAGGTAAAATATTTCCAACTAATTGTTTAGTCGCGCAGTTAAAAAGAATAGTAGTAATTCTGAATCTAGTTTCCGAAAGTTAGCGTCGAAAACTATTTTTTCGACTTAGCGTCGACTCTAAATTTTACTGTCTCAATAAACTTTTCTTCCATTGAATCAAAAATTGATTTTTCCAAGAGTTTACTTGAAGGATAATTTTTTAATTAGAATGTTTATTTGCAAAATGAACTCTATTGGAAGTATTCCCGAAGATTGTGATAGAAGGGAATTGGAGTTGCCAATCATAATTAAATTCCTACTGATGCTTTCCTTCCATTTAGGAAAACGAAGGGAAACAATAAGTAGAAATGGTTTGTTAGAAATTGGAAGAAATTTCTGGTAATTGGAAGAGATCCCCTAACAGGAATAATAATTCTAAATCAAAAATTAAATTACCTGGGTTTTATTATTGACGTCATTGACCCTCGTGGTATTAACGGCCGGTTGCCTGGGCCCTCTCTTATCGAGTAACAATTCACTGGGACATTTCTCAAATATAAGAACCCTTTCAGCAACTGAGCCCCTCGTTAAAAATGGTCTCACCGGATTATTACCACTTCCAACGCTACCCGTTGATCTAATATGTTGCTTTTGTTGCACCGTCAATTCAGGATGTGGAACTTGCTCAAGTCTTGGCCTCGTGGCATTAATTTTCGCTCCCCATCTTGTATGCACCAAGTCACGTTCCTCTTTGGTTTCCTCTAACTTGGGACTCTTTTGTGTTTCAGGCTCAAATTTACTCCTCGTTATTGAAACATGCTGCTCAACAGGATTGACTTCTTGCTTCGGCTTTGGTTGAATAACATTCTGTGCGGCGCTGTATCGCACCTTGGCATAATCGACTAGAGACATCGTGGACAGATCTTCTCTGTTTAGAGATTTTGCCTCAATGGGAAAGGACGTGTGATTGGAATCCTGATAAACAATGGAGTCCGTCTCGTCACGTGTATCATCGGAGATGAGTGTACCAGTCTTTAGGGCGTCAATGAGCCTCTTTTCCTCACGAGCAACTTCCTTGAGGTAGATTGACTCCTTGGCATTTCCGTATTTGGTTTTTTGTCGCGGTTTCGTTTTCATGTCGTTGAAAATTTTGTTCTTTAATGGCCAAGTGTTGAGACTCGAGGAATCCGTGCCGTCTAGGACTAGATTATTCGGTCTCTCGATTTCCTTCACATTATTCGATAGATTCAGCTTCGCGGTTTGTATAATCCCTTTTGATTTGTGGAGATTTTCGGTATTCAGGGACTTGACCTGCGATTGAACGGAATTACGTTCGAATTTCTGCAGAGCGAATTGAATGGAGGAGGGTAAATTTTTGCCGGGGGATCTTTGACGAGCTGCAACGCGGGCTTTATCCTCCTCGACGAAATTATTCACAAGTTTCTCGAGATTATTGTTATCTAATTCGGGGGATGAGTCGTCGAGGTTTAATTTCCCACCTCCGGAAATGGGGGAGAGTGCACTGCCGAATTTATCAGCTGCTGCGGCATTGTTGTGACAATTGAGGATTTCCGTTGGTGCGAGACCGCGACTCTTCCAGGTCTGATAAATTGCCTCAGCGTGATCGCTAATTTGTTTTGCAATTGCGGCGATGTCCTCTTCACCAGAAGTCTCTGCTGAGAACTTTCTTCTGAGGTCTCGTTTTGCTGTTGCGGCCATAGCGCCCTTTGATGTGTTTTGATGATAATCCACAATGTCTAGAGGATCCAGGGTCAAAGACAAATGTTTACTGTCGATTGGGATGAAAAATTGCTGATGAGAATTATCGTAACGGCTCCTCTGCGTCAGCATAGCTCATCGGGCCATTTACGGACCCGGGATCTTGATCTTGATGCAATTCTCATCTTCCGCTGATTCATTTCTTCATGTTGATATTAGAGGCACTAGATTTTTTTTGGCAGAACTCGAAACTGACTTGATGGAACTTTTTTTGAAAGGCAGTCTTTATGGCACTGTTGGGAGACTCTTGGATGAAATCTGAAACAGAAAGAAAACTCAGTTAAAGTACAGGAATTTTTTGTTTTTAATTACAAACTTAATCGCAATTGTCTAGGACACAAATCCAGATCTTTTTCATTCCCAGGGAGACTAATTCCTAAATGATTCGAAAGACATCTACCAACATTTTAATACATTGCTTTTCCAAATAGCCCATATGTGCAAAATCTGAATTCTTCCAGTGTTGACGAATCATTTCCAAAGTAGGTGGTAAATTTCATCTGTGGAGAAACTAAGTCGCGAAAGGTTAGAAAAACGATTACAGAAATCATCTACTAACATTTTAGAACATTACTTCTCCAAAAAGCCCATATGTGCAAAATCTGAAGTCTTCTAGTGTTGACGAATCATTCCCAAAGTAGGTGGTAAATTTCGTCTGTGGGGAAACTAAGTCGCGAAAGGTTAGAAAAACGATTACAGAAATCATCTACCAACATTTTAGAACATTACTTTTCCAAAAAGCCCATATGTGCTAAATCTGAATTCTTCCAGTGTTGACGAATCATTCCCAAAGTAGGTGGTAAATTTCATCTGTGGGGAAACTAAGTCGCGAAAGGTTAGAAAAACGATTACAGAAATCATCTACTAACATTTTAGAACATTACTTTTCCAAAAAGCCCATATGTGCAAAATCTGAATTCTTCTAGTGTTGACGAATCATTCCCAAAGTAGGTGGTAAATTTCATCCATGAGGAAACTAATTCGCGAAAGGTTAGAAAAACTATTTCTGAAATTATCTACTAAAAATTACTGTCATTGCTGCTTTAGACTGCACATGTGCACAGAAATCGAATAACACATGTGCTGATGAATTATTTAATAGTCAATTGTTTGAGTATTTTCCAAGGGAAACTATTAAGTGAACAGTTACAAAAATCATCTACAGATGTTTACTAACATCATTCATTCGGAATAATTTTTACTGTGATTGCTTTTCCAGAATGCACATATGCAAAATTCTAAATTCTTCTAGCGCTGACGAATCATTCCAAAATTGATGTCAAATTTCTTTCATAAGGAAACTAATTCGCGAAAGGATTAGAAAAACTTTTTAAGAAAACATCTACCAACATTTATTGTTAGTGCTCCTTTAGATTGCACATGTGCAAAATCGAAATTCTCCTAGTCTTAAAGAATTATTCCAAAATTCATAGGGAAAGTTAGGGAATGGGGATATGGATAATAGGGAAAGTAATTCACAAAAGGTTAGAAGAACCATTTCAGAAATTATCTCCCAACATTCTATCGACATTGACCTTCCCTTTTGCACATGTGCGCAGAACCCAAAGTCCAATCCACTGTTGACGAATAATTCCAAAATCGATCGTTTTCTTCCCTCAAGCGTCTAATTCATTGTCGAAAAAGAATTTATTAAATCTCTGAAAACTTTCTTCTTTGATAACTAAGGTAAAAAGAGAACTAAGGTAAAAATGAATACCGAGTTTTTTTTTAAATTCTTGACAACTATATGCGGGCAATTCTTGAGAACTAATATTGGCAAAATTTTTTTTCAACTCTAAATTTAACATTTCGCTCTCTATCTGACAATATCTTCCATAATTGCTCATCATCCGTGTGAACTGTGAAAGTAAGCAAAGAATTACGTAATATATCTTTGTGTTGCCATCGAGTTGAAATCAGTCGGCTAACTTGTTTATTAAGGGACCTGCGCTCTCGCAGTTCTAAGGGGAATATGAATTGTGCAATGAATACCTACTGCAGCGTTACATCGCATTAGCCTTCGGACTTAAACCCATTTTCTTGTCTAATAAGCCTAATACTCTTAAATACCCTTTGGCACTACTACCTCCAAACTCTAAAATTCATATGACAAGGTTAAATGTTCAAGAATGAAAAGTGCAATCAACCCTTTAGTCTTTAGTCTTTAGTCTTTAGTCATCATTCACTCTAGGTTTCAGTATTACAATTTTTGGAAAATAAAATATTTTTCCCCACCTTTTTTCTCTACGAAAAGAAAATATTTGCCAAAAGCTAAATTATAGAGATCGAGATTGGAATTTTTTTTTTTTTTTTTTTTTTTTTTTTTTTTTTAATGGAAAAAAATGGTATTCTTAAGAAAAGGATGATCTGAAATTGTCTACCATGTCAATTGGTTTATAAATTATAAGAAAAATATGAAGGAGACCTTACAGGCATCATATCAACCCACGTATTGAGTCACATACTAATACGTAACACGTGTCTGATATGTGACCATTGCTTTTGTGTGTGAAACAAACCTAAATATCTCCATCACAGTCACACAACCTCTTAACACCCACACAAACTATGTTTCTCCACTTCTTTCTATATCCAAGAGAGATGTGCCACCTTCCTAACGAGACAAGAAAGAATGAAGGACCTCCTTACTCTAATACCTTGAAACCGCACTGCAGCTTCTCAAGTGGCCACAACACATCTCATCCCAATTTCGCATTATTTCTTTTTTTCTTCTTTCTTGCCTTATTACCAACTATACTGCAAATGGCCTTCATCAGTTTCTTTCTTGCTGCTTTTTATTCGCCGCACTTGACGATTTAAAAAAAAAAAAAAAAAAAAAAAAAAAAAAAAAAAAAAAATTACAGGTGACTTTGGTTAATTTGTTAGGCAACATTATTGAAACAAATAGGAATTCATCCTTTTTTATGAAACTTTCTTCATTAAAATTATAAATATACGTATTTTAGGGCAAAATTCAAAATTTTTGGCTAGTGAGCATACAGTTTAAGGAAAAGAAATTAAAAAAGTCCTTTTAACGGAAGAAGTATTTTGTCTATTATTAAAATTTTTAAATCCCCTAATTATAGATAATAAGTAATTATTATTAACAAAAAAAAATTGTTAAGAAAAAAATAATTATTATGAACAAAAATAATTGGTAGTAATAAAATAATTGATACTGACAAATATAGTTATGTTAATGAAAAGAAATGATTGTTATTAACAAAATAATGAATAACAAAGTAAATGTTAATAACAAAATAATTGATAATAACAAAAAATAATTGTTAATTACAATAATAATTGCTATAGACAAAAATAATTGTTAATAAAATAATTGTTAATAGCAAAAATAGTCGTTAGTAACAAAATAATTTATAATAACAAAAATAATTGTTAATAACAAAAATAACTGCTATAGACAAAAATAATTGTTAATAAAATAATTTTTAATAACAAAAATAGTCGTTAGTAACAAAATAATTTATAATAACAAAAATAATTGTTAATAACAAGAAATGATTGTTAGTAACATTATAATAAATAACAAATGAAATTGTTAATAACAAAATAATTGTTAATAATTGTCAATAACAAAAATAGTCGTTAGTAACAAAATAATTTGTTCAATTACAACAACAAAATAATTTATAATAACAAAAATAATTGTTAATAACAAGAAATGATTGTTAGTAATAATATAATAAATAACAAAAGTAATTGTTAATAACAAAATGATTGATAATAACAAAAAATAATTGTTAATTACAAAAATAACTGCTATAGACAAAAATAATATTGTTAATAAAATAATTGTTAACAACAAAAATAGTTATGTTAATAACAAGAAAATATTTTTAGTAACAAAATAATAAATAACAAAAGTAAATGTTAATAACAAAATAATTTTAATTATAATTTTTGGACAACTTTTCACGAATTTAAATTCTTGTGAGTAAATAATAGTCGATTAAATATAAAGTTAAGAGAATTTAAAAATTTTTTAGTAGATTAATTTTGAAATTAATTTTGAAAATTCAACATGTCAATATTTTGTAAACACTTAATTATAAATTCAATTTTTATATACAGGAAACCTTGATTTTTTTTTATATTGTTTCTTATTTTTCTTTTTTCTTTTTCAAAAAAACGCCACTCACTTTAGATTTTATAAGCACAAGTGTATATATATATGTATATTCAGTGGGCGATAGTTCATTGACAGTGTATAGTGAATTCTCTCAACATCAATAGATTAATTCATAATATTGTCGAAAGATTCTTGTTATTTTCTTGCCTTTGTATTTCATATGTATTTATTTTTTTTCATGCTTTAAAAATAAAAAATTAATATATTTAAAATTTTTTCGAGGCCTATCTTAATTTCAATGTGAAGGATGAAGAAAAAAAATTTTTTTTTCTGTAGGTGTAATGAGTCTCCAAATAAGCAATTTTTATTTTTGTTCAGAGTTCAGGTTGCGAGTGGTTTTTTTTTGAGATATGTGAATATGTAATGGAAAATTGAATTTAAAAACATTCCTTTCATCTAAAAGTTAATAAATTTAAAAAAAATATATAATTATTTAACTAATTTTAAATATTATTTTTTAAATATATTATTATTTTTTGTTATTAACAACTGTTAAAGTTTTTTTTAAATTATTAGTTAAATTAGTTAAATTTAAAATTAAAAAATTTAAATTAAAATTAGTATAGGAATTTTAACTACCTTTTTTCTATTTTATTATGAATATAAATAATTATAAATACATCTTATCAGTATTTTCAAGTTAAAATTTCATGCGACCTTTTAAATACGCCCACTTGTTGTATAGTAATAATAACGAGATGTCGATTTTTTAATTTAGACTAAAATATATTTCAAGCGACTTTACACTGTATTTTATTTACGAACGCATAAACATATAAGTGTATAATGCTCATGATTCCAAATCAGGTAACGTTATTTCTGTGAAAACAATCACGCACACTTTCCATAATGAAGAAAAACTTGGCTTCAAAAAAAAAAAAAAAGAAAAAAATTAGAAGGGGGCTACATTTGCAAAGAATGGGAAAAAGCGGTTTTGTGAGACGTATATTACTGTTTTTCTTAGGATATTTCCTTTCTCTGCTCCCAGAATGGTCGTAGAAATAGAATCTCGTCACACGTAAACATTTTACTCATACGCTCACACTATTTTGCCATTGTTCTCCAATATTTTCTGTTCCATTCATTTTCTGTCATTATAATTGTTATT